TCTTCCCTCCTCCTCCCCCACTATGGCTCAGCATTCCCTTATTAGAGAAAAGATTTGGTCTTTGGAAAAATAACGTTTTTAGATTTAGGAGGACTTGACAATGGTCAGGAAAACCTGAACTTTCATCCAATTTTATCCCCAAATAGTATTCAGACTTAGGATATTTAAGAACTGCTGTATTGAGCCTTGTCCACCCAGGGGGTGATAAAAAAGGCAGGGAGAGAAAAGAGAGGTAAAGCACAATCCCAGCACTGACTGAAATGAAAGTCAGAGATAACTTCAAAATTTCCTATTTGGAAAATTATGGTACCCTTCGTTCGTCTGGAGATGCTTAAAAATCTTGATGCCCTCGACATATTTAAGATGAGTTAAATCAGAATTTCTGAGGTGGGACCCAGGCATCATTACTCTTTATAGCCACCCGGCATTCTCAGCACATTAAGCTGGAGAATAACTACCAGAGTGAAAACAAGAAAACCCAGCAGGATATTGACATGACCAAGGAAGGGGAGAGTATAATCCTAGTCACACGGGGAGTTTAAGTTTCCAACAGAGCATCCAGGAGGAAATTAAAGACTGGATCTCAGGAAGGACAGAGCAGGATTTTGGAGTTATTCCTGAACTCAGTGAATACCCCTTCAGGTCTGTTAAGTACCAGGATCTGCAGTCTAAGGAACAGGTTTCTGGTTTCGGTGAGGGACTTATATCTGGTGGAAGGGAACAGATTTCTCAGCAACTGAGAAGTAGAAAGTGATGTAGCCTTTAAGATGGAATCTGTATCTGGGTCAGGAAAGAAGGGTTCAATGCTCTTGAGAGTGACCAGAAAAGGCTTCATAAAGAAGGGACAAGGAGGTGTGCAAGTTCCAAGCCAGCCTCAGCAACTTAGTGAGAGTCTCTCTCAAAATAAAAATAAGGGCTTGGTGATGTGGCTAAGTGGGAAAGCACCTGGGGGTTCACTCACCAGTACAAAAGAAGAGGAAGAAGAAGGGACAGGGAGAGGGTAGGCTGTGGGGAATAGAGAAAGGAAAGGGAGGCTGTAGGAGCTTATGAAGCTTGCTTAGATACAGCAGACCAGAGAAGAAAATGGAACCAGGTGAAGATCTTTGAGAGCTAGCAGAGAAAAAGGCAGGTAGGCTAGAGAAGTGCCTGCAGGTAAGGAGGCGCTCAGCACAGTAGCCCAGGGAAGTCAAGGAGGATAAGGATGGCCGTGAGAGTTGATGATCACATAACCAGAGAAGTCAGTTTCCAAATGGGACAGCTGGGGGAGAGACACTGGATACCATTTGGAATTGGACCCTTCTAAAAAGTAAAGGATAACTGGAAGGCTAGAGAAAAGACTGTGGGTAGAGTTTGGGGAGCACCTTTAAGCCCTGAAACAGAGAATCCGGAGGAGGTGCCCTATAGTAGGAAAGTGGCCTCAAGCTATTTGCATTGCATTCTCCTAGTGTGGAGCTGGATGGTCTTGGGTCAAGTCACTTCCCCTTCCTCTGGGTGTCACTATTTCATCTGCAAAATTATAAAAATAGACACTTATCAGGTTTCTAAAGTCACATACTGCTCTAATCTAAGCATTTTTGTGGTTAAAAACAGCATCAAGTGAGAGGACAAAAATTACTCTCAGCTGCATAAATCATGACGGTGAGTCATCTTTGCCTTCTACACATGTGCACTCTCCATGTCTGGTCACCTCACTCTAAGGGCACCACCCACTACGGCCCACTTTTCTCAAAGTGAGTGTTGGTGAAAGGTACCCTCTATCATTTAGGGATGCAAAAGGTGGTGTAGCACAGTTATTAAAGCCACACGTTCTGAAATCAGACAGTCCTTCGCTAGGAGTGTGACTTTGTGAAAAATCACCCACTTTAATTTTTCTAATCTGTAAAATAAAGTAGCAATGGTTCTAATCTCATGAAGTTATTAGGGGATTACGTGAAAGAATGCATATAATGTATTTAGAACACACCTAGCTTGTCCTAGCAAAGAAAACATTAATGTTCTTAAAAAAGTGCATAAAAAAGCAAGACCCTGTGCCAGAAAAGTATATGACTTCCCTGTTGTTATATTCTTGGAGAGTTCTTCCTTTGAATCAAACAGATCATTTTTGAATAGTAAAATGTCACACTCGATGTTTTAGTCAGCTTTTTCGCTGCTGTGACTCAAAGACCTAACCAGAACAATTGCAGAGGAGGAAAAGTTATTTGAGGGCTCACAGTTTCAGAGGTCTTTCAGAGGCTGGCTCCATTCCTCACAGCTGGAGGTGAGGCAGAACATCATGGCAGAAGAGTGTGGCAGAGGGAAGGCACTCACATGATGATCAGAAAGCAGAGAGAGCCACACCCAATTCCATCCTCCACAGCCACAGTCTACCACTTCAGTTACTACTTGGTTAATCCCTATCAGGGAATTAATCACTGATGGGTTAAGACTTTCCCAACCCAATCATTTCTCCTCTGAACCTTGTTGCAGTGTTTCCCAGTGAGCTTCTGGGAGACACCTCACATCCAAAACCATAACACTCAATAAACAAATTCAACTAATTGTAGTAATATAAGCTCCAGAGTCAGACCACCATGATTCAGACTCTAGCCAAGCTAATGATTGGCTTTATCTTCCTGAATTTCAGACTGTGCATTTTGTAAACATAAGGTTAATACTACCCAACTACCACGACTGTAAAGACTAATTTAAGACAGATTCTCAGTTTCAGGCACTAAGCACATTTTAAGTGTTGTTTGTTTCTACCTAGTATTGTGACTTACACACAAATAAATGCTTAGTAAGTATTCTTGGAACTGAAATTGTGGTAAGATTCTGCTCTGGGAATCCAGGCATTTTACTAGTGTTTTTCTCTAGGATTCTGCTCCTTCTCTGAACTCAACTCATCTGTGAAATCTATTCTTGGTTCCCAGACCACATTAACATTGACTGGGTTGATTTTTCAACCCAGTCCATATTAATAATCGACTGGGTTGATTTCCACCCCTCAGGAGGAGGGGGATCACGGACAGAGTGGCAGAGAACAGAAAGAGATAAGGTCAGGTACCACAACACCCTGGAGGGCACAGGGAGAGAGGAAAGTGTCTGCCCAGAAATAGCTGAGGTAGAACACAGACAGTACTCATCTACCTAGGTTCTGTTCACCTAGCCATCATGTCCAGAATTCCCTCCTTGCTGCTGTTGTCTTCTGTCCTGGGTGCTTTGATCCTGCCATTTAAGGAAATCAAACAAAGGGGAAAACACACACACACACACACACACACATAAAACAAACCTTCCACATAGAAGTAGCAGTGTTAGGTACAAAGTCTATGTGGATGTTCAGTTCCTTCCTAATTCTCATTCCTTCATGGAAAGGCAATGACACCAACACATGGCTAACCTAAAATTGACTTTCTCTTTTAAGATTTGATTGTAGGCTGCAGAGAAGGCAAAATATTTTGCTAGAGGCTATAACATGAAATACAGAGTAGGCTGGTGATGTCACAAGAGAGGTCTTCAACAGTGTCAGCAGAGACTTGCAGTGATGATTAAAGTTGATAAATGGCACCATGTGAAATAGCTAGTTACCCCATATGAGCAGGTGGAGAATATTAGTTATAGGTAGGTCAGAGCTCATTATGAGAAATACCAGCACAAGAAAGAATGCTTCATTCTAGATTTTGGAGTCTCAGGTATTTACTCACTTATGTCAAGAAAAAATGGAAACAATAGAATTAGAGATCTATGAAAAATGTTAGCCTCTTGGCAGCGCCTAGCAATTGGTTTTGAGCTCTATATTAAAATATGTCAGACCAAGTCCCACAGCTCTCCCTAGTCACCATATCCAGTAGCCACAGGCTACCACTTCAGTTGCTACTTGGTTAATCCCTATCAGGGGATTAATCACTGATGGGTTAAGACTTTCAAAACCCAATCATTTCTCCTCTGAACCTTCTTGCATTGTTTCACCAGTGAGTTTCTGGGGGACACCTCACATCCAAAACCATAACACTCAATAAACAAATTCAGTTAATGATAGTAATATAGGCTCCAGAGTCAGACAACCATGATTCAAACTCATTTGTGAAAATGAGTTCCCAGTTGACCTCAGGGAGCAAGATCCACAGGCACATGTAGCCCATTTTATGCCTAACTGACATGGCCTGCAGAGGACCCACTCTCTACAAGCTCCCCCATAGCTCACTGGAGATTGTAAACATCACTAATCCAAGGTTAACTGAATGCAAAATCCAAGAGAGAAATTCGGGTTCTGCGAAAACCGCCAGAAAGGGCTTCTCAAATTCAGATTTACATTCCAAAGTAGCCCTGACGCCAAATCCCTGCCAGAGCAGAAGGAAAGTCCCTCTATTCTCCGGAAAACAGTTCCTAGGAGAAGGAGTTAGAAACCAAGATCTCTTATGGTGGCGCCCTGCGGTTCCCCTTGGAAACAGGAGAGATACATGGCGCCGCTTGGGAGAACCCACACTGGTTTTCCAACAGGTCTTCTCTCATCACCCGCCACTTTAAAGGACAGCCACGGCTTGGCTCCCCTATCTCTATGGCAGGGCGGCAGTGGGATGTATATTTCTAGCTATTCAATTTTTTCAATGGTTAAAGATTTTATGGATGACTTAAGCGGTTTATGTCCTTTCCTTAATTCTGACAATAATCCCGAGGCTCATGTTATTAACCCTGTATTTCCTTGCCTACAAAGGGCGGAGAAAAGGACGCAGAGAAGGGTGGCAATCCGCCCAGGAAGCGGTGGGAGCAGAGCCGGGGTCTCCACCTCCCACTCTGGGCTTCTGCCTGCCTGCCTCGGAGTAGCTAGCCCGCCTGGGTGCGGGGCGGGCGCCGTGTCCCTCCCGCGGGCTCCAAGCGCTGGGCGGTGCCCGCGGCCACACCTGATGCAGGGCGCACGCTGCAGGTGCGAGGTGCGCCCGAGACTCCGCCCCGCGCCCCCCGCCCGAGCTGGGTGCCCCGCAGCGGCCGCAGGACGCGCCGCCTCCGCCCGCGCCCGCCAAGAGGAGGAGCCACGGGCACCAAGCGGGAGGAGTCCGGAGTCGGAGGGCGGCGGGCGGAGGCGGATTTCCTGGGCCCGGCTCTCTGGGGCCACTATGGCGTTTGGGAAGAGCCACCGGGATCCCTACGCCTCCTCCGTGGGCCAACTCATAGGTAAGGCGGCGCGGGGAGACACGCCCGGGCGGGCGGGCAGGCGGGCTGTGGGGATCGCGGGGTCTGTCCCCGCTCGACTCCATTCTTGGCCTGCGGAGGACGGAGTTGATCCCAGTTGGGGGAGATCCTTCCGCCCCCATCCCCCCAGCTTTCCCAGGGCACCCACATTCCACCAGCCCCCTTCCCGCGTTACTTTCTGGGCCAACTCACCTTGGAACTCCTTTTCCCCAAGTTCTCTCTCTTTTGCTGACTTCTGGGTAGTGGAACCCAACAGGTGAACCCCAAGGCTTTGGCGTGGTGTGTTGGGGCCTCTACCAGGAGAGGCTGGAAACTTGTTTGACTAGAGGAAGGTTATTCAACAAGTGCGTTCACCCGTGGGCTGTTAGGCGTGTAGTGTTGTTCCATACTGTTATGCCCATTTTGCAGATGAGGGAAAGATGTGATCTCACTGTGAGAGGCTCAGCAAACCTGAGCTGTCTTTTGAGGTAAACAAAGAGAATGAAAATGCTTGGCATTGGAGTAAAGGGAGGAAAGAGGAGAGGTGTTAGCTGGAGACACAACTGGAGACAAGAAGAAGGCCTTTCTGAGACCAGGGTGGGCCGCCTAGGCACCGTCCTACCTCTTTTCTATCTCCAGTGGCTATCCTCTGAATTATGTAGGTGTAAGCATAAGTCAGTGATTGGACTCTTCCCAACACCACGTCACTTCTCCCTCTTTTTCTTGATTCCTCCCCTTGGGAACGGGGTGTGGCACCCTGGCATATTAAAGGCAGGCAAACTGTCTGTTGGGAACTTAGTGGGATGATGAAATCGTGAGAACCTGGTACTTGGAGCAAGAAGGCTCAGACTTGCAAGATTTGGGTTACAGCACACCTAATTGCTGTGTGACACAGAACAGACCACTTACCCTGAACCTGAGTTTCCACATCTTTATGGGACCAGGCACCCCAGCCAGGCTAAATAAGACATGGTCTCAAGCTTCAGGGAATTCACTTTCTTTTATTTTTAATTTTTTCCCAGTAATGTGGATTGAACTCAGGGACACTCTACCACTGACCCACATCCCCAGCCCTTTTGATTTTTTGAGAAAGGATTTTGCTAAGTTGCTCAGGCTGGTCTGGGATTTGCAATCCTCCTGCCTCAGCCTCTCAAATCACTGGATTACAGTCATGCACCACCACACTCATCTGATGGGAACTCACTTTCTTATAGGGCAGACAAGTTTGTAGTAACTTCTGTATGATACTTTTAGAAGAAAAATATAAAACACATAAAACCTATGAAAAGGGAGAGATGAACCCTGTCAGGGTCTTTGAAGGGTGAATAGGAGTTTCTAGGAAGATAAGGTTGGGAGAAGAGCAAGGAATGGAAGGAGACATCTGATAGATGGGACAACCATATATGCCTGACAGTGCAACGTTGCTCACCTTTGTTCACCGAGTGCCAAATTCTAATAGCTCTTTTCCTGGGTGGGAAGCAGGCTAAACTTGGGGGTTCTCCCAACCAAGTCCTTATTCTTCTTCCCCTTCATTAGTCTTTTCTCGTTGTTTTGTCTTCATTTTCCTCAAAAACGATGTTATTTTCATGCTTATGGATCACACCTTTCTCCAACGAAGATATTAAATTCATTCATATAGGGTATTTCCCTTCCTAGAGAGCATTTTGTTTGAGGTACTGGGGATCAAACCCAAGGCCTGGCACATGGTAGTCAAGCGCTCTACCACTGAGCTGCATCTTTAGCTCTTCTTATTCTTTCTTTCTTTTTAAATATATATATATATATATATATATATATATATATATATATATATATATATATATATATATATATTTAGATGTAGATGGACACAATGCCTTTATTTTGTTTGTTTATTTTATGTGGTGCTAGGGATCCAACCCAGTGCCTCATGCATGCTAGGCAAGTGTTCTACCACTGAGCCACAACCCCGGCCCCTTATTCTTTATTTTGAGACAGGTTCTTGCTAAGTTGCCCAGGCTGGCCTTGAACTTGCCATCCTTCTGCCATGGCCTCCCCAATAGTTGGGATACAGTCATGCACAATAACACCTGCTTTAACATTTGGTATTCTTGAAGAGAATGTCTGGAAAAGGGAAAATATCTGATTATTTAACGATGGGGTTCCAGGTACAGTCTGCATGGAAGTCTGCCTGTGGTAGCTTTGATAGTATAGACTAAAAGTGGTCTTGCTCAGTCATTCTGTTCTCTCTCCCTTTTTCTCACCCCCACCTAACAAATGATTTTAAAAAACAAACAAACACTGAGATCAAGCAATTTTGGATTTCAATATAAGTTCTACCTCCTACTTGCTCTGTAACCTTGGGTAATTTCCTTAACCTCTCACAATTTGTTTGATCATGTCCAACAGTGGGTTAAATGGGATTGCAAAATAAAATACTTAGCTCTGTGTAGTTCCCCTAGTAGGCGGCTGCTGAATAAGCTCTAGTGCTGTTCTCTGAAAGTCGGGCAGATGGAGATCTAGCTGGCCTGCTTTAGTCCCGTAGCCAGGTGTTATGCTTGCAGTCTTCATTAATAGGTCACTCATTACTGTTGCAACAGCAATACTCTGAACTTGAGTTCTGAGTGATTCCTGAATTACTGAGGATTGTTCAGGGGAAAAAAAAGGAGTCACTTTGCCCTATATAAACTTAATGGTACTTGCTGTTACACCCTGGGGCAGATTATTTAAGGGAGACATTTTTTACTCTGTTGTAACTCAGACTCAACACAAGCAGCTTTTTCTTTGCAGAAAAGGCTACATTTGCTGGAGTTCAGACCGAAGACTGGGGCCAGTTCATGCACATCTGTGACATAATTAACACTACCCAGGATGGGTGAGTTCAGTGTGGTGTCCAAGTCTTTACCTTTGATAAGAAGCATCAGATCTATAACATGTTTTTTCTTGCCAACTCTGGTTTTCTTATTGAAAGAGGATTTTTATCATCCCTTAGGGACCCTCTACCTTTTAAAGATGTCAGGTTTTGACTTATTGGGGCAGCTCTTGCTGGGACATGTGGAATATCTGAGAATCCATTGTAATTTTTTTCCCTCTCCTCTTTCAGTTTTCCTTAACAGTTTCAAATTTTGTCTCTGAGAAACTCAGACACCTTGTTTTTAAAAGATTAAATATATATATATATATATATATATATATATATATATATATATATATATAGAGAGAGAGAGAGAGAGAGAGAGAGAGAGAGAGAGGGAGATTGTTTCCTTCCTTAGGAATTTTTTCTGCTCTGATTGCCAGTATTTTGTGTAACTAAAAAATATTATCCAGAAACTGGTTAACTCCTGGTGGTGAACAATCTCTGGACATTCATCTTTATAACCAGGAAATGATCTAGCAGTCTTTTTCTTCCTTGTCATGGGACAGGTTGCTTTGTTTTGTTTTCTCCTTAATGCCAATATAGCCATGTTTGTGCTGTGTATATTTTAAATAATGGATGCTACTTTTTTTATATACTTTTTAAACTTTAGAGAATTGAAGTTATAAGAGAAGTTATTAAAAAGGGCCTACATGGGCTAGAGTTGTGGCTCAGTGGCAGAGCACTTGCCTAGCAACATCGACAATTGAAAAAAATATTAAAAAAAAAAAAAGGGCCTACTAGTTTGAATTTAGTCAGCTAAGGTTATTATAAAAGACACAATTCCATTAATTTTCTTATAGGTATTCAAGTGACATTTGACAGGAAAAGATGTAATCTAGCTCATGTTGAGAAGAAAACATGACAACTTAATTATTGATTATATATTGATGGAAAGTACTATGTCACCATCACACTGTTCATGATTTTTTTTCTCTATAATCTTGTTTACCATGTTTAGATCTTCTGTGAAGCTTTTCATTGATACGACCAATTTCTTCACTGCTAATACATAAGGAGAATCTAGTAAATTCTAGCCCTCTATTTATAGTTCTTCCTTTGTAACATGATATTGAGGCATCTCAGAAGCTGACCTCATTTGCTGTAATTCTTCCACCATCCCTTTGCCTAGAGGGTGCTCAGGAAATGCCAGTTGACATTAAAGTGGTAACTTTCATTGATTGTCTTGGAAGTTAGATTTCCTGTAAACTGGTTCTGTGTATTGGTAGAGGAAATGGGTATAAGCATATTTCATGAGTAGTGCTTTCTGGGTAATACTCTTAGGTAAATATTTTGATTCCCACCATAAGGTAGGTGGCATTGTCTGATTGTATCCATGAGGGGAAATTTAGGTAAGAGAAGGTACATGATCTCCTGAGATGGCAAACCAAAACCAAGGCCTTGGTCTTGTGCTCCTTAGACATTTCTGTTTGCACAATGCATATTGGTTTTCAGAAAACAATTTGCATGCCTAAATTGGTGATTTCTGTGTTTATTGCTATAGGCCAAAAGATGCAGTGAAAGCTTTGAAGAAAAGAATTTCCAAAAATTACAATCATAAAGAAATCCAACTTACCTTGTCAGTAAGTACTTGAATGTTCTAAGTAAGATTCTAGGATTTCCCAAGTTATAATTACATTTTTAATCCTGGGTTTTAAAAAAATCTACCTATCTGTGTATACACACACACACATACATACACACACACACAAATATTCTGAAGTAACAATAGGTTAGCAAAATTTTATACACTGTATGAGTTAAGTTTATTTATAGAGAATTGCAGAATAGAATTTAATTGATTATAATGGCATTTGATTTTGTGGAAAGAGTACTCCTGGAAAATCAGTTTTTCCTGGTCAGGAGATAGGAACTTGTGATTAAAAACTTATAGATGCTGAACCAGTGAAGAAGTTTGGGCATGTCTTAATTAACCATAACTGAAGGTGGGAGGAATTAAAGTCTTGAAAAATGCCCCCCCCCCCCAACCCTTAGTTTTATATCTTCCTTGAACACTTGTGTGGAATCCTGCATGCTGGCAGCTCATTTAGTTTGAACCAAGTTCTGCTGCATGGTATCATTGGGAAAATGTTCTTTGTTGATTTAAGCAGTTCTGTGTACTGTGTTGTCTGTGGTCTCTTACGTGACTTGTTCCCATTCCCCCTCCCCCATTCTTGGCCACATGACCTCTTCAGTCACATTGGTGAGTTGCCCTTTTTACTTTGATATGTGTTGCAAGCTCTGCCTGCTGCCTGAGAGTGAGCTGTGACATGGCTCTCCAATTTCTTCTGCATGCTTTATTTACCTCTGCCAGGCCCCAGACCATGCATGGTTATAAGGCTCTGGTTGGCCAGCTTCATGCTACTCTGAGGAGCTGGGGGAGAGTTGATCAGGAGGGTGATGGGGCAGAGGAGAGTGCGGCTCCCTGGTTTTAGATTCACAAGGAAGAAGAAGGGTCACATCTTGTGTGCTTGGAGACTAATTCAATGAAAAGAAATGAACAGTCTTCAAGATGCAGTCACTAAAGAAACCCTTCACAGAGGAATCTGAATGTAGCTTAGGAGCATTTCCCTTTTTTGACCTCTTTTCTGTCTTTACCTCATGGTAGTAACCTCAGGAATTTCACAGAATGGAGGGGAGACATGAGTAAGGCATTTCTGTGGAAATACCAGAACAATGTCCCAGTGTTAGAAATGCCTGGCACCTGACTGATATTCTTGACGTCAGTAGAGATGGTTATGTTATTAATTCCATTTCAAAGGTGACGAATCTAAGACTAAGCAAGGTTAAGTGATTCCCCTCCCCACAAGATTAAATGGCTATTACATGGCCTAGGCAGGATTTGAACCTAGTCCTCAGATTCCAAATCCCATACCCTTACCCCCAAACTACTTTGCCCCTTGGAATGAATCAAGTCTCTTATAGAGCAGACTACTGTATTTCATTTGTGACTTCAGCTCCTTCATGTGTGTGTGTTGGGCCAGGCTCATCAGTATTGACTGAATAGATGATCATCTGCACATTCCCCTCCCACTTCTCCTGGTATCCAGGAAGCCTCAACAGCTAATGAAAGGGATAGTAGAGCTGTGGTAGAAACCAATGTGCCCTAAAATGAAATGGATCCAGGATATCTCAAGGCTGCAGAAGGTTAAGAGAATTGAGCGAGGAAGAAAGGGGATGGCGAATTTGGGGAACACCACCTTCTCTGTTTCAACTCACAATTGTTTACCCTTTGTAAGGGTCTGCCTCTTTCTGTACTGTGTCTGGCTTGCTTTGACATTTCTGTGGTTGCGTGTCTCCGTCTCCATGCCTTCCTCCATTATGGGTTCTTCCCTCTGGGGATGAACCAGTGCCTTCCCTGAGGAAGCTGGGTTGTGTCAGATTGTTGTGGTTCCTTTTTGGAGGGGTCACAGTGTTTCTGCTCTTAACTCAAGCTTTGACTTCTCAAGCCTTGCTCTGAGCTAGCTGCTTGTTTTCCATGAACTTGTCCACCTCATAACTGTGCCACCTCCGTCCCAAGCTTGCTGTGCCAGTGTGAGAACAAAGCAATCTAAAACCTGTACTGAAATAAGGATGAGTCACGATGGAGGGATTAGAATACAACTTTGTTGTTAGAGTCAGAGTTCATGAAGGTCAGAGAAAAATGCATCTTTTCTCTTGAATTCCCTTTAATATCTTCGTGCAGATTTCCCCAGGCTGTGTACATAAAGGCCCAGGCACCTCACCTCAGACCAGTGCTTATGGACTGGCTCCAGAATTCAGTTGAGCCAAACTGAATTATGAGGGAAATTAGTCACAGAAAGAATCATCCAATGTCTGCCAAAGGCAATTATAAGTTTACTAATAAACTCTTTAAAAAAAGTAATTCCCCTATGTGACATTTCCATTTTATCACTATGAAGTTATGACAGCCTGTCAAAGTCAATTATACATGTTCTTCATTTTATCTGCCATTTTGGGTTCTCCATGGACTTGTTAGCCTTGATTAGGTCCTTGATGGGATCTGACTGTACTATGATTTCTTACCATAAGTTGATAAGTTTTATTAAGGAGCCAGTCATTTGTTTTTGCTTTGTTTCTGTTGTGCTGAGGATTAAACCCAGGGCTTTGTGCATGCAAGGGCCATACCTTTGAGCTACATGCCCAGCCCAAGAAGTCAGTAGTTTTGTTTTTGTTGTTTTTGTTTTGTTTTGGGTACTGAGGATGGAATCCAGTTTTGTTTTGTTTTGTTTTTTAAATACTGCTGTTTGATTGTATTGCTCTCATCCAGAAGCTAACCTATTCTTGAATGAGTCAATTGTGATAGATCTCAGCAAAGTATCATTGTTAAACACAGGAAAGTGGTCGAACAGGTTCCTGAGAATCAATGAATTAATAGACCTTTGTGGAATACCCATTAAGTAGTGAGCTCTAGTAGTTTCAAAAGTATTGTGAAATGTGGCTCTCCCTTCAGCAGCAGTTAGAGGGGCTGTGGAGGCTGCATTGTCTCCTGTGGGTGTCACAGTAGGGTAACGTAACCATACCTTGGTATGGTCACCAAGAATGGTCCAGGTGTATTTTTCAGCTCTGATGGCTCTGAAACCTGATTGTTGTCACTGTACCTGGTTTAGAATTTACTATGAAAAACATAAAGCCACATAGCTCTTTTTCTTCCAGTCCTCTCTGAAGAGAATATTTCTATCAGCAGATTGGTTCCTTCTCTTCTAGAAGGATCTACTCCATGGAAGCAAATGATCAAAATGGCTACTGTCTACTGTTTCATGTCAGGTCCTGTTCATGTCAGGCTCTTAGCATACATTATATTTTATATAGTCTTTAACAACAAGCCTCTACATGGAGGTACTTGTGTCCATTTTGCGTGAGGATACCCAGGTTTCAGATAAATGACTTACCCAGCTGAGCACAAAAGTAGACCAGTGAAGCTTAAGTTATCCACTTAGGTTTCTCTTGGTCCCTTGGCTCCTCGGTTCTCTATCACACCTGAGATTATGGACTCTTGCTTCTCCAGTTTTCCAAGGTGGGTTATCTAATCTCATATACACCAAAGTTAAATTGCAAAATATGTAAAAGGGACTTATGTAATTTTTCCAATTTGCCACAATAGGTTTTATGACCAATCTAACTGGGCTGCTGGGTGAGTACTGGAGACATAATGGAAGAGGTGATAGAGAAGTAATTAGTCCTGACATCCTAGATTCCAATGGGAAAACACAAAGGGCATGATTGCTGATCTCCAGATGTTAACATTCTCAGAATTTCACTTTGGCTGTTTGATCCTGTGTATGTGCCCCCAGGGAATGTTACCCGTTATAGTAAAATACCAGTGCTCCAAAAGACAAAGTTGATTTGTGGAATATTTAGAAAGAAATTCACCATTCACTTCATTATAAGCAAAAGTGAAACTCAGAGGCAAGGTACCTACACCGAGATTCCGGTGAAGTATTTCTGTAAACTCATTAAACCAATGACACTCACCCTCTCAGCATCCCACCCATTAAAAACTTTTATCAAGTTCATTGTCATTTGTCACTTCCCTTTTCAACTTTGTCTAATCAACTTGTATTAGTAAAGATTCAACTTACTGTGCTATGGATTTTTTTCCTTTGCTTTAAAGGTGTTCCTTGGGTGTCACCTAGCTCCATGTGCTCAGCCCCTCCATTTCCTGATTGCCTTCTTGGTCACATCGCCTTAAAACTATAGCTTTCATATGGCAAAAAATGACACTCAAAATATAGAGCATGGTAGCAAGTCAAGTTTCAAGGCTACTTCTCTGCAGAAATGATAATCCCTATCCTGGTTGGTTATGGTTTCTGTGACCTCGCTCACTCAAGGTGGTGGAGTGATTTAATTTTGTTTTTAGATCACTTGTTGAAGTCTACCTTCTGCATGCAGTTCTTCCATACCAGCTCATTCTCTGATTTCTGCTCATGTTGCTTTTTGAAAATTCTTCTTTCAGGGCAACAGTTACCCCACATGGGTTTTTCTTCATCCCTATTTTTTACTATTTAACACATCATCCTCCTGGAAGCTTCTCTTTTGACCTTACTAATGTTGTGTTTGCCTTATGTTGTGCTTCATTTCTGTTGCTCTTTGGTTTCCTTCTGTGAGTTTCTCTGGCCTGTGTAATAGGTAACACCAGTGTCCCCGCCATTCTTCCTCTGCTTATCAGAAGTGACCTTGATGGCTCACTCTCCTGACCTGTGTCTGCTCAACAGCTACTCGAATGTCCCACTTTTCTTTCAAACTAAAATATCTAAATTTCAACCCATCATTTTTGTTCCTAGGAACCCCACCCACTTCCAGATTTCCATCAATGGTGTCCTCAGTCTCTTGCAGAATGAAGGCCACTTAACTTTCAGTCTTCCTTCATCCACAGTCAGGCCGAAGTCTTCCTTCATAGTTCTTCCCTGACTTTCCTCCCTTGCTTCTGCCTCATTCATTTCAGGTCTCCATAAATGGTGGGAGCCTACTGGATCTTTCTTTCTTTCCAAGAATTTTCACCCTCTGGTTTCCTTTGTAAGTGCTGCCTGACAGCATTTCCAGAGTGCTGCTTTGCATACATTATCCTTTTTCCGGAGCTCCAGAGTGAGGTGTGATGGTGACAGACTAAACAGGAATCCCTGCCTTCAGGATAATGTCCAGATGCTTTACACTGCCACATAAATTTCTGTGCAGTCTGAGTGACATCCTGACAGACTTTATTCATTCAACCTCTGCAGTGTCCCTAGTTTGCCACTCAAGAAGCCACTACCAGAGACAAACAAGAGGACTTCTATTTCCCCTCAAAATTCATACATTGCCACCTTTCTAGTTTTTTTCAAGCCATTTGTGTTAGTTACCTTCCCATGACTGTTGCAAATACCTGATGTAATCAACTTAGAAAGGTTTATTTTGGCTCACGGTTTCAGAGGTTTCAGTCCATGATTGGTTGGCACTGTCACTTTTAGTCTTGGAATAAGGTTGGCTTCAATGCATGGCAGTGCAAAACCTCTCACCTCATGGCAGGGAAAAGAGAAAGAGAGAGAGAGAGAGAGAGAGAGACACAACACACACACACACCGTGGACCCAAGATCACCTTTGAGGACACACCTGCAATGATCTAAAGCTTCCTGTTGTTCCTTCCACCTATTGAAATGTCCACCACCTCCTAACAGCACCAAGTTAGGGACCAAGCCTTAAACTCATAGACTTGTGAGAGACATTCCAGATCCAAACTATAGCAACACTTGTCTGTCGAAAATGTAACTCTGTACTTCTTTTTTTTTTTTTTTTACTTTTCATATTCATTTTTCAATGCCTAGTTCAGGACCAGCCTTTTCCAAAAATCTTGTAAGGCCACCCAGTCCTAAATAATCACACTGACATAAATAGGTTTGTAGCTAGGCTTACTGCTGTGCAATTTATTATCCAAACCAGAATGTGTGAGAGTGAGAGGATGTGTCGTCATTAACAAAGTCAGGACAACAGGAATGGAACAGGTCTTCCCTGGATAAACTGGGACAGATGTCATGCTGTCTTTAGCCCGTGTGGCTTGCTCACACTTCCCACTTAGCAGGTAGCGTCTACTACCTTATTTTGCTGATAATGCTGTGATAGTGGTGTCCCCGCTCCCCATCAAGCCCAGCCCCCGGGTAGCTACATTATACTTATTCTTCCTCATATCCCTAGAACCTACCATTTTGCTGTGTCTTGTAGTAGAAAGTAAATAATGTTTATTAATTAGAATGCTGGTAGAAATCATTAGTTGGCAGTTTTTGCCTTATATTTCTGTGGTGATCTTGCCAGAGAAATACACTGTTTAATTTTTCTTATTTAGCTCATTGACATGTGCATGCAGAACTGTGGTCCAAGTTTCCAATCTCTGATTGTGAAGAAAGAATTCATTAAAGATAGTCTGGTTAAGCTGTTGGATCCTAAATACACCTTACCATTGGACATTCAGAATAGAATCTTGAACTTCATTAAGGTGAGTCTGTTGTCTACTTGCCACATCCTAAATAAAGGACGGTATGTTTCTAAGATTAGAGATTTAATGGGATAGCTTCTGATTGTTTCAATGATCCTTCTTAACCTAGGATTGAGCCAGAGAACATTCCCATTCCTTTGTTTCTGTGGCATAATGATTTCTAGGTGTTGGATAATAACCTTTTCCTGAAGAATTTGTATTCATCTCCCTCCCTTCCTCTTAGTTTCTATTTCATCCACATCAGGAAAGACATTGATGGGTATTTTCATTTTGTAGATATGGAAACTATCTTCTGGAGCAGATAAATGACTATTTCAAGGTTACCTGGCTAAAGAGTTACTGATACTATTTTGGAATCTATTAATTTTATGTTTAGCACAGCAAAAAATGATTGATCGTATCTATTTCAGGGTTCTATCAAGATGTTGAAGCATAGGATTCTGAGGATTTAAAGTATTTTATAATATCCTAGCCTTGAAAATGAATACTTTGTTCATGGCATTCAGAAATAGCTTTGTGTTTCCTAATAAAGGACACAGTTGTTAATTTCTCATCTTATATCGCAAGTTTAAAAACTGCTTTTGCTGCTATTTTAACTCCAGAACTTTCTGTCTCTTGAACTCAGTGTTGGTCACAGGGTTTCCCAGGAGGTGTGGATGTAAGTGAAGTGAAAGAAGTGTACCTGGATCTGCTTAAGAAGGGTGTTCAGTTTCCTTCCTCAGATGCAGAGGCTCCAACAGCAAGACAAGAGGTAGGAGGCTTTTCTTTGACCCATGTGGAGTAAGAGAATGTTACCTGGATCTTTTTATATTGTAAGCCACACCCTGGCTCAACTAGGTGGAGCCAAAAGATGAGTTTACTAGAAGGATGTGGCCACATCTTGCAGAATAACAATGGCTAAGGACCTGGTTGCTTGGTGATTTTGGGGTCTGATCTGGAAGCAAGTTAGAAATGCTTCATGCCCAAATAAGTCAGAATCCTCATTTTTATAAGATTTGCAAGTGTTTTCTCTGCACATTGGTGTTGATAAGCACTGGCCTAGAGCCCATGCTATGGGCTGTCCACCTAATGTTTCAGGTAAGGCATTGACTCAGGGAGTGGTGATTGGTGGAGGATGTGCTTTGCCAACTGTGGCTTAAAAAAACTTAATATGAATTTAGTTACCATTTGTTTTTAATGACCTAAAGAGAGGGCAGTAATCATCTCACATGACAGTTTATCAGGCAGACACTTTGTACAAACCAAGAGTACTTTATTGAATTGTTATTCAGTTAGTAAACTGAATAGCAGCCACATTGCTATTGAATACCTGCCGAATGCTATTGAATACCTGCTCTGTTATGGGCATGTCATTTGCTTAGGGCTTTTCTCAAAATGATGGACAGGTTATATGCTTGATGATTGAATCTGGGCTACTCAGGACTTTGGTTGAGAGTGCCTGAGTCAACTCAGAAAACGGGGCTTGAAGTGGCTATGTGAGTCTCATAGAATTTCTTCCTTTCATTCTCAGACCTCATTGACTCCACCAGCATCTGTTCCTACTGCACCAGCTCTTTCTTCAGTAATTCCTCCCAGGAACTCAACTATTACTTTGGTCCCAGAACAGGTAACAAGCGCAAAAAATATATTTGTTGATGCCTTTTCTAAGTTCTAAGCATTGTATATATAGTTTGTTTGTTTTAACAACATTATGAGGTATATGTGCATTATTCCCTGTGGTTTAAGAGCACAGAAGACTATGGCTTGGGGATACTTCTGTGAATTACCGTGGTTGATTTCTGAGGAGAATTTATCCAGTTGCTTCTGTCTGATTCCATAGCTTACTTTTAATTGTGTGTATCTAGTTGATTTCAGGGCTTTGTGAAGTTTTGACTGTGGACTGAGACTTATGTCCATCAGTTGATTCCTGTTCCTACTGATAGGACTGTCTGAATATCATTTCAGAGAGCTCAGGAAATGGGGGTCTTTATTAATTGTGCCAACTAAGAGGCTTCTTTGTCCCTGTCCATCAAAGGGGCACATGAACAATTATGTAACACTTAGGTCCTGCTATAAAGGAACTGTCACTGAAGATTTGTATTAGTATTATTCAATTAATATTTGTATTAATATTATCAATAAACATGAAAATCTGTGTGATTAATCCCTTTTCCTGTTTAATTGGGGAGGAAAAAAAAGGGGTTTTATTTTTTATCCTTCTTGCTATGATGCCATCAGAGTGCTAAACATTCTCATTTTCTCCCCAGCTCTTATTGGTTACCAAGAAACTCAGGGTAACATTTGCCATTTTTTTCCAGGTTCTTAATTCTCCTACTATGTACTTAGTACCTCCTCCTCTAATTGTTTTAATCTTTTTTTTTCATCCCTTCATTTTTAATTTTCCTAAAGTGTAATTTTGGGTTTGTTACAAGAAATCTCAAGACCATTTATTAACAGTATAATACATAAAGTAATTAAATGTGTGTGTTTGTATAAACTTAAATGTGTTTGAAGACATGAAATTTTGCAGCATTATCTCCTCCAGCATAAGTCCTGGGAGTGGGAAGCAAGCTAGCCACAGCCATTCTTCTTCAAGCAGTGCACTTACTGGGGATTATGTTGCTCTCCACAGATTGGAAAGCTGCACAGTGAATTGGATATGGTGAAAATGAATGTGAGAGTGATGTCTGCCATACTGATGGAGAACACTCCCGGGTCTGAGAACCATGAAGACCTAGAGCTTCTGCAGGTGCTGTATGATCAGAGACAGAGTGTCTTGTGCCGTCATTCTCTAAACTTTTGAGCTTTGGAGATGGAAGACACTACTGTTGCCTAGTCCTTCCCCTTGCATCTGACTTCATTTGATTTCTAAACTTGAGAAGAAAAGATCAAAGAATGACATTAGCAGAAATGCAGTAGTAACTTAAACATGATTCTTCCTTGCCCTGATGCAATTTATGACCTTGGTCATATGCAGTCAAGTACCCCATTGGGTTTTGTTTTCTTTTTAAATTTTCATTTATTTATTTATTTTTCAATTTTGCAGTACTATGAATCAAACCCCAGGGCCTTGCATGCTGGGCAAGTGCTCTATAGCTGAGTCACACCCCCATCCCTTGTCATTTTATTTTGAGGGAGAGTCTCCCTATGTTGCACAGGCTGGCCTCTAAGTTTTGTGATTGTTTTGCCTCGGCCTCTGGAGTAGCTACGATTATAGGCGTGTGCCACCATGAGTATCTTCTCATTGTTTTAAGTGTAAAAAAATTGCATCCATTCAGCAAATGTATTGAATAACTATAAGGAATATAGATATAAAGAGGCTGTCTGTAATCCTTAAGAACTTTTGTCTAGTGAGCAAGATTAGTTTATAAACAACCAAATCAAGTATTACAGATGCTGTAATATAAAATTTGTCAGAATGGGATGGCCTCATGAATGGGGATGAGGAGAAAGGTGAAGATTTTAGGAAAGCTTTAGATGGGGGCAGTACTCATCTGTGGAGGAACAAATGAAAAGGCATTGGGACTTTCATGAACATGGGAGGAAAACCATGAGCATTTGGAGGGTCCTCCCAAACCTCCTGTACATTCATATACTTTATTTTTTCACTCTATTCATTTGTTCATTGAATTATCAATTTTTAAATTTTAATACTTATTACTTTTAGCGACTTGTTATAGCACATGTCTGTAATTCTAGCACTTAGGAAGCTGAGTAGGGAGGCTTACTTGAGTCCAGGAGTTCAAGACCAGCCTGGGCAACATAATGAGTTAGTGAGACCTTCTCTCAAAACAAAAGAATAAAATATAGACTTCCTTTTAATGCTTATTAAATTTAGAAGTCATTAAAAAAAAAAAAAAGATCTGTTTCTAAGTCTCCCTAGGCAATTTAACAATCTGTCAGATTTTTATTTTTCTCAGAAGATTCTCACTCCCTGCTTCTCATGTTGGTGTTCTCTTTAATTCCTTAGATAGTTAGTGAGTGATATTCCACTTCCTCCTGATTTACTAGGGTTACAGACATGCGCCACCACACCTAATTAAGAAGCATTTTTAAAGAGTTGATTCTAATGTGATTAAAATAAAAAGAAAAGAAAAACAGAAAAACAGAGGTTACTTCTCACTCTGTGTATCTCTGCAAACCTTTACCAGAGACCACTGGGTCTCCTTGTAAGGAACTCCTTGCGGCTCCCAACCCCACTGTCAGTGGATGTGAATTTGCGTGTTTCTCAGGTGTGTAGGCAGAAGAGGATGCAAACACATAACTTGAAGCATAAAGTAAGATCTGATCTGTACAAGTTCTTAGGGACTCTTCAAGCCTTGGAGATTCTTGGGGATTCTTCAAGGCTTGAGCACTTGGAGGGTCCTCCCAAACTCCTGTGTCTATATATTCATATACTTTGGGACGTTTGCAAAGTTCATTGTTATAGTAAGATTGAGTCTTTGTTTTTAACCCAACATTTGCAGACTTACTTGACCAAAGAATCCTGATTTTCTAAATACCTGTTAATATTCTGCAGAATATGAAAGCAGTGTACCTTGAGAAACAAATCAATGTTATGATCATTGGTTTAAGTGTATCATTCTTGGAATATTTTACTTAGGAGTATTGTAAAATATCATTTCATTGAACAATGGAGGTCTTGCCCTTGGTCTAGTCATTGGGCTTTGTTTCTGCATGTCTAAAATGAAGAGCTTAGATGATACTTTATAAATAAAGGGAATATTAAACACATGCTATTAATTTAGAAGAATAAAAGGAAAATCAATCATTAGAATTCATATTCAGCAACCCTTTAAAAAATCCACAATTGGGGCTGGGGATATAGCTCAGTTGGTAGGGCACTTGCCTTACATGCACAAGGCCCTAGGTTCGATCCCAGTACCACCAAAAAATAAATAAATAAATAAAACAAATCCACAATTGGAGTCTTTTATGTGTAGAGACTTTGTAACCTGTTAACTAGTGAGTTAAACTAAAATTTAAATATCCAAGTAAAAGGGTATGTGGCAGATAATAGATTTTGAAAATGGCCATAGCAATATTTCTAGTTTCACATGGTCTTCACAGGCCAGTCAGACCTCTGAAATGAATTGATTTATGACTTGTTTCTCATAGTCTCATCCATTTGTAGCAAAGAGCCCTGTGGTAAAAATGCACACACTTCTATTTAAATACCTGAATCCAGTTTTATCTTTTATTCACCATGACTGAAATGCCTTTTTGTCTGAGTCCTTGGGTGCAGATGTTTGGTTGAATCTTACAAGTATGATGAGAATTTGTGGGTTGCTGTTTTAATGCCAGAGCTCAGGGTTGTGTATTGCTTTGAATAGTAAAGAGATTTAGGTTATAAATCAACATTGGAATACTGCTCCTAGCCAATTCAAGTTGAATGGGTTCTGGCATCCAGTCAACTTGTTTACAGAGACTGCTAGATGGGAAACTTTGTTTTTCTTCCCATGCTTTTTGGCAATAACAGATAAAGATCTGGTGTAGGGTAGGCTATTCCAAATTTCTTTTGACCCATATTTGAAGTTTTAAAATCTAAGTAACTCTGCTGTGGTTGATTTCTTCACCTGCTATGGAGGGAAAGGACAAGGAACCTATCTGACTGAAAGATCTAAAAAAGGAGAGTAACCAAAGGTAGACTATGGAGAAGCAAAGGAATTCTTTACATTTTACTTTGTCAAAGGTTTGCTCATCTGTCTGCACTACTGAGATCAGTAAGAGGGAGGAACCTAGGATGATGTGCTAGTTCCCTGGCTGCTGTCCTCAGAACTGCTGGGGCTTCCAAAAGCTGCATCATGAACCCAAGTGGTCATTAGAAGGAGTTGGCAGCCAGATGGGAGGAAGAACCCAAAGGAAAGAATAATGCAGAGAGAGCAGCCTTGACAATAGCAGTGTCGTTGGTAGAAGGAGTGGAACCATCCAGACCTCATTCTCCTCCTGCTTCCCGTCCCTGTCCTGATAGCTGAATCCAGTCAGAAACCAGAGGGCAGCGGACCTGGTGGTGTGGTCCCTACAAGCCAGCTTCCCTGGCAGAAAGTGGCCAGTGGATCTGCAGGGCAAAAGAAAGGTGGCCAGCCATAGGAAAGTCTCCACTCGGAAATTGTCTGGCTCTTCTAGCACATAACCAGTGACCACAGTCTTATCATTTGTTAGTGTTAAAATCAGAATTTTATCTGTTTGAGGTTACCTTCTACTGGTTGTTCTATTTCTTTGGAACCTGTTTCCTACCTGTTTCCTTCCATCTGAAATCTAATGTATTTCCCTGGAACTCCCTCTCTGTTCCTCCAGTCCATGTTGAGCCATTAGATCCTGAAACGCTGTTGATTCACAGGGCTCCTGCACTCTGTTAGACCTTTGGGTCATAAAACCATTTTGTGCAGTAGATGCCGTTTCTTATCACTCACTGTGCTTAACTGGGCAGGGACTGAATTTCCTTTGCTAGGGGGGAGTGTGAGGCTGCAGCCAATCTCAGGTATGTGGTGATGAGCTGTGGGTGTCTGCCCTGGCCACAAGTATGAAGAATTGCAACACCCGTTTCCTGTATGTGTTTTCTTGCCCATTGTGCATTTGGCCTTGGGCACTTTCCTCTTATCTTGAGAAACCAACTTTCTCAGGACCTCCCACTTTAGTCTTTCTTACCTTTTGCCTCTTCCCAGTAGACCAAACTAAGAAAATATTTTGGTCTTTTGTGGAATCAAGAGAGCTCAGATGATCATGTGAGGATGATCTATAAACCAATTAAAAAAAAAAAAAAGGAAGAAAGAAAAGAAAAATCACCCTCCTCTGACCAAGTCTTTATCCTTCTCAGGAACTTGTAAGATACTTGGAAGGGACTTTCCATGTCATGGACGAAGCTGCATATTTAGAAGAGGGATGGCTTGCCCACCCACTAGTAAGCAGGGAGGGGAATGAGAACTGTATTCTCCTAAGCCTGTGTTCTATCCTTGATGCCAGCTCCTTTCTTATTGTGAACCAAGGGCTGATTTTTCTAGGGTAGAAGGCTAACCTATTTTATTTTTAAAATTATTTATTCATCAATTCATTTATTTACCCTTTTTATTTCTACTTTTGAGACAGGATTGCACTAAGTTGCCAAGGTTGGCCTCAAACTTTCACTCCTCCTGCCTCAGCCTTCCTAGCTGCTGGGATGATAGGCATGCACAACCATGGCCACCCTAACGGACTGTCTTTTCCTGTAGGTATGAAATTAGCTCTGAACTAGTTAGAAAGCCACTTGAATACAGTAACCAAGGCCTATCCTTGTAAAGCCATTACAGTGCTTCATGGAGTTATGCATATTTGTATTACATGCTTGGCACACTGAGTGAGGTTATTAAACATCAGTTGAATAGATCAATGCACTTTGTTGAAGAATGAGTGACTTAGGACAAAGGAAGTTACATAGAAGGATTTATTGAAGACATAGGTATTAGGGAAATAAGATGTTGACAATATTTAATGGGGCAAAAGAGTCAAAGAATTCCAATGATGATCTGAGGATTCTATTGACAGTTCATCCTTCAGCTGAGGTGTGTATGAGGAACAACTGTGTGAACAATTGATTTAAGCTGATAAATGTTTCATTTTGGAGTGTGGGAGAGTTTTTCTTTTTTAGCAGATAGAGGCATCCTCTCAATCTCTTGCAGTCGGGTTGGAAGCACTGGGAGAGGAAAAATATGTTATGGACTGATGATAGGGATGTCGCCACACAGATACTCTATTTTATAGAGATTCTTTCATGCAAACACACTATTTCCTGTTTGTACATTTCTCTTTCTGTTTTCAGTGTGTGGCCCTGTCTTGGTAAACGTAGGTCAACTGTAGTTTGTGCTGAAAGTTCAGAGGGCTCTCCTTCCTTAATTCCTGAAAGCTTTGTGGAGGATTAAGAGCCATCTGGATGTTGGAAGAGGAAGCTCTTAATGAGCTCCTTTTTGTTTTGCTCCAAAGCTTTTTGAATTGATTGTTAAATTCATTCTAACTTGGAAGCCTGACTTTGCCTTTATAATAAAAGGAGGTGATTCCAGAGGCTCTGTCAGTGACACTTGTGTTAGCATCTGTCATTCTTGACTCATTCCCCATGGCTCCCTGTATCCACAGCCCTGCAGGTTCCGACTGTGAGGAACTCTGACCCATCTTTTTTGTCCATGGTGCTTGGTCTCTGCTGTTTCCAGGTGATGCAGCCCTCCTCTGAGACAGACATCAATTGCAAAGATCAGAGTGGGCTGGCTTTTGAAGAGGTTTTTCTCATTCTGCTTTGCAAACCTGCTGAGAGATGTGATGTTCCTTTCATGTTTCCATTCCATTTGGCTCTTGAAAGGGCAAAGGGAGGGTCTTCTTATGACTGGGGGCTATTGATGTTGGCTGCAAATTCATTTCAAATTAATGTCTACATTTTTGTCATGGGCATCTAACACCCATTGTATTTCCTTGATCTTGACCTTGTTCTAGCAAGGCTGCCAGTGAGCAACAAGAGGAACAATTGCTGTACCCTTTAAAGCAAGAACAAAGGAAACATTCTCATTCATCAGAGAAATAGATGCTCTTGGTTCTCTGCTTTGCATGATATTGGTTCCTAGGTGATGGTGCAAGTATTAGAGGATTGTATGAATTATTGAGATGAGCTTCTCTTCACCAATGTAATATGTCGTGGCTACTCACTGTATACTAGACATTGTGGGGCTTCAGATAGTCATTTCCTGTCCTTACAATAACCCTGAAAAATGGTTGTTATTGCTGTGTTATAGATGTGGGGAGAAACAAGCCTTCTGTTAAATTTTAGCCTTATTTCTCTAAATTCCATAGCAGGTATGTATACTGGGTCTACTTTTAGCCTATTGCATCTGCAGTCCTTTCTCTTTCCATGTAGCTACCACTTGTCTTTTGTTTTATTAGAAGTTTGTCACAACCATCTCTTGTTTTCTAGGGTTGTTTTCACCCCATAATGGCAGAGTTCAGTACTTTCAACAGACTAGATGCTCCACGAAACAAAATATTTAATATCTGGAGCTTTAAGAAAAATTTTGACCCCCCAACACCATGCCATGGTTGATGGTGGCCATGTCATTAGCAAATAGGACAGTTTTTCTGGCTACACATTGGAAGTATTAATACCCACTCTCAGCTATCTGTCTGATTCCCCCCTTGTTTTTCCCTTTTCATTTCATCTGTGTTCTAAATATTTTTATGATTTTGTGGAGGGTAGTGGCTTTTATCTCTCAGTCTAAATGCCAGTTATTAAAAGGTCGATTTATTTATTTAGAGATTTCCTCTCAGGAGTCTTGTAATATAGATTGTTTGAGATTCTAAATGGTCTTCTGAAGCATTAATTTTTCAGTAGTCTGTTTCTTGAGGGGAAAATGTCAGATTGTTTAATTGTGTGATGCTTAAGCAACTTGAGTTGCATTCACTGCAAGAGGAGGATCAGCCCTGTGCTTTTGGCTAATGTTGGCAATGTTACACAGGCAAATTCTAGCCAAGGTAGGGCAGAGGAGATAATAACATTAGTTGGATGCACTTCAGGTTTATTGGAGGTTTGCCTAGAAGGAAGTCAGTTGTAAGGCGGCACTTTTCAAATGTCAGTGTACATAAGAACTTTTTGGTGTGCTTGTTTAAAAGTATAGATCCTCAGACCCCAAGTCCTGGAGATTATGGAATCAGTAAGTGTGTTTTAGGTGCCTCTAATGCTTGTGAGAAAGGTACTGATTTGGAGCATGGTGGTTGTGGCTCACTGCAGGGATTCTAGGTATCTCAATAAGGTTATTACCTGTGAGGAGTTTTTTAATCCTGGTAGTGTTTACACTGGAATGTGATATGTCTGTAAACTCTTAGTGTTTAAGTACAGTATAACAGGAAGTAAAATTATACCACTGTCAATGTTTTTTTACTACTTCTTCTCCCATCACTAATAACGACAATAACATTTTATGTTTGTGCTTCCTAGTTATAGAGTTACTCATTATGTACATCTCATTTCATTTTTATGTCAACCCTTGAGGCAGATGGAGCAAATGGTTATTTTTCATCTATCAATGAGAAAACTGAGATTTAGAAAAGAATAATATTTTTTCCCCCAACATGGCATAGGTAATAAGTACTGCATCTAGAATTCCCATATAGCACCTCTAATTTGTAGTCCAAGCATTGCTTCTGGTATACTGTATTGTCCTTAGGACACCCATTTTGGCTTTCAGAGAAAAATAAAAGCATTTTTAAAACTGATTGCCTTCCAATTTGAAAGATGCACTTTCCACAGTTGAACACCTTGTAGGCTCTCACAGGTGACTTGGCCTGAGGTGATCACATGTATATGTAGACTGGCATGTTGTGTCTATAGAGCCTAGCATGGAAGAAGAAACGACTCTCCTTTCTTTGACAGAAACTTTACAAGACATGTCGGGAGATGCAGGAGAGGATCATGGACCTGCTTGTGGTGGTGGAGAACGAAGATGTAACTGTTGAGCTGATTCAAGTGAATGAGGATTTGAATAATGCCATCCTTGGATATGAGAGGTGAGCTGATAGTGTCCCCTCTTTGGCCCTCTTTCGGTCACAGTTGCACCATTCACTCAGTGACCTCACAACAGTGCCCAATGGGGGACACCTTTTTCTAGATCCTTTTTTCTCAGTACGTGTGGCATTCTGCAAGGGACAGTTTTCCCTTGTGTGGCTTCTCTTCACTAAATGCCAGAGGTGTTCCTCCCAGTTTAAGTGATTTACGAGGCGCCCTTAAAGACACATTTCTGAGGAGAATTACTTGGAATGTTTAAATGTACAGTGGCTGTATTCCTAGCTAGCAGATGAAGAGCGAGGCATAAAAAAAGAGAATCGGTGAAATAAAACCAGCACCTGTAGAAGGGTAGGTTCTTCCTTTGCTGCCTACCAGGACAGCAGCTGTTTGTAAGAAAAGATGAGGGGGCATTGACTGATGATGCGAACCTTGCTCTCTTTCTTAGCACTAAAGAAATTCACAGTCCCATCCTGTGTTTATTTTTGTATGGTATAAATCTTGGTAAGCAGAGAAATATCCAAGGAAAACCATGTGTTTTTTAGTCTAGTTGTGTCCTGGTTTTTATTTGGGAGGATTCTATTGCAGACCATAAGTCCAGTGCCTAAAGGTCTCCTTCGTCAGGAGAGAGTTTATTTGGTCTAGATATCAGGGAATGGGGTTACTTCTGTGAACACTAGGTTCTGGTTCAGCTTTGAACTACATGTGCCAAGGTGACTGTGGCAAGTTGTGTGATAAACGCTTGAGTCCTGAGATCCAGAGAGAAATTCTTGCCTCTAGAAAAAATACAGACCTGTGTTTTAGTTTTCTTCGGCTGCTGTATCAAGTGACCATGGACCTGGTGGCTTAAAACAACACAAATTTATTATCATAGGATAATAAATGAATTCTCCAGGTCAGGAGTACCAGTGGATGTCGTTAGGCTAAATCCTGGGTGTTGGCAGGGCTGTTTTTCCTTTCTGGAGGCCCTGGAGGAGATTCTGTTTACAACTTCTAGAGACTGCTTGCTTTTTCTCATGACCCCTTTCCCCTGTCTTCAAAGCCAATGCCTGGTTCAGAACTCTACATGTATCACTCTTACTTCCTCTTCTGCCTCCTCTTCCAAGTTTAAGGACTTTTGTGACTACATTGGGCTCTTCTGTACTGTTTAGGATAAATGCCCAGCTAGGGTCAGCTCACTGGTCAGCTTCATTCCATTTGCAACCTTTAATCTCCCCTTGCAGCATAACCTAATAAATTCACTGGTTTTGTTGAGTAGGACAGAGATACATTTGGAGGGGTTATTATTCTGCCTATCCCAATCAGTCCAGTGGTCCCCCAAAGATTCCCCTTCATCCCTCATACAAAATACATTCATCTTATTCCAACATTCCCTAAATCCAATTCCTCACTCAATGCTTCCAGGGGATAGTTTTGAAAATAAGGAAATTGATATCAGTTACCTACAGCTTGATCTGGGAACGCTGTTCTTACCTCACACATAACTGAGTAATGTAACAAAGAAGCCAAAACTAACAGTAGAAGACATTAAAAAGCATATATTTTTGAAAAATCCTTAAACCTAGTGCATACTCAGATGCAGTGTAAACTTTAAGACCGTAAGGCTCATGAAGTCGGTGTGTCCTAATGGTCATACTGGATGCTTACTACAGAAGGGTCTCCACCTTCATCTACCTGGATTATCTGTGTATCTATTTATCTATTTTTGACCCTGAAAATAAATTTCTTCTACTTTGTTTTCCTTTATTGCACTAAGGATTGAACCTGGAGCCTCACACATGCTAGGCAAGCTCTTTATCAGTGAGCTACTGAGCTATATCCCCAGCCCCTGAAAACAGATTTCTGAAGTAGTTCAAATATTGTTATTCCCTTTTAGCAAATGGAGAACTGAGGTTTAGGAAGTCATGTCCATTGTCTCTTAGTTTCTATGGAATAGTAGTGACAGCTGTACTTTGGACAAGGATTTCAACTCTTCTGCCTTTACCTCAATGCCTACACAAATAAAATTAAGTCAGAGATACAAAAGGTTAATATTTTTGGAAGGTATCAAGTGTCTTACAGAAATAGAAATAAACAGTGAAACATAGATTACTTTAAATGTATTTTAATTGTTCTGGACAAATATTTATAATGGCAAAATAAGTAATAGCTTAAGTGAGAATAAGATGGTTAAAGGAGTAATAGATTCATGTGGTAAAATGTTATAGCTATTAAAATTATAGTTCTGAATAACTCACAACACAATTGAATTAGGATATAAAATTATGTAAAGTGTAATTTCAACTATTTAAAATTAAATTTATTGTAAGAAATACTGGGGGAAATATACATAATATTAATAAATTTCTTAGTGATGCGATTTTTAATTATTTATTGGTTCCTTTTCTGTGGAAGGCTTTGTATTTGATCCTCAATTCTGAAGCTTACTTTTGTGGACTGTGGTATTCTTTCTTGGCATCCATTTTCTTGCAGATCTTAGTAAAAGTCTAAGACTTCCTAGCTTTCAGGGTCTGGGTTGAGAAATCAACTGAGATCTGGGTTGGTTTATCTCTAAATGTAACCTATATTTTTTCTATAGCATGTTTTAAAATTTTGCCCTTATTCTGTATGGTAGGCATTTTCATAATAATGTGACTTGGGTTTGGTCTGTTGTAATTTTGTAAATTTGGAGTCCTCTATGCCTCCTGTATTTGATTTTGCCACTTATTCTTAAAGTTTGGGAAATTATCTCATATTATTTCATTGAAAAGATTTTGTATTTCTTTCATTTATATTCCAGAGGATAGAAACAAATATGTATATGAATAAAAGTCCATGAACCCTTTAGTACATATTCAAAACAAGAAAATCTTGATGAAAAATTAAGGAGTAGTTTCCTTTGTGATGGACAAAATAATCAATGAGAATATATGCATGTTATCTGTTTCTGACTTTCTTCCTTCCTTTTTTTTAAAAAATTTGTTCTTTTCAGTTATACTTGATAGTAGAGTATATTTTGACATATTTATATAGACATGGAGTATATATTATTCTAATTAGGATCCCAGTCTTGTGGTTGTACATGATGTGGGGATTCACTGTGGTGTATTTATATATGTACATAAAAAAGATTCATTACACTATCTTTCCTATTTCTTTTCCACACTCCTTCCCTTCATTCCCCTTTAGACAAATCTACTTCTGTCTAATCTACTGAACTTCTGTTCTTCTCTAATCCCCCCTTGTTATGTATTCATATTTACATATCAGAGAGAACATTCGCCTTTGGTTTTTAGGATTGGCTTATTTCACTTAGCATGATAGTCTCCAGATCCATCCATTTTCTGGCAGATATCATACAGTCATTCTTCTTTATGACTGAGTAATATTCCATTGTGTATACATACCATGTTTTCTTTATCCATTCATCTGTTGAAGGGCATCTAGGTTGGTTCCATAGCTTAGCTATTGTGAATTGAACTTCTATAAACATTGATGTGGCTGCATCAATGTAGTATTCTGTTTTTAAGTACTTTGGGTATATATTAAGGAGTGAGATAACTGGGTAAAATAGTGGTTCCATTTCTGGTTTTCTGAGGAATCTCTATACTGCTTTCCAGAGTAGTTGTACCAATCTGCAGTCCCACCAACAATGCATGAGTGTACTTTTCCCCCCCAACATCCTCACCAGCATTTATTGTTACTTGTATTCTTGATTATTGCCATTCTGACTGGAGTGAGATAAAATCTCAGTGTAGTTTTAATTTCCATTTCTGTAATTGCTAGAAATGTTGAACTTTTAAAAAAAATATATTTGTTGACCATATATCTTCTTTTTCGAAGTGTCTGTTTGTTGATTGGGTTATTTGGGGTTTTTTGGTGCTTTTTAGAGTTCTTTGTTTATCCTGGAAATTAATGCCTTAACTGAGGTACAAGTGGGAAAATTTTCTCCCATTCTCTAGGCTCTCTCTTCATATTCTTTATTGCTTCCTTTGCTGTGAAGAAGCTGTTTAGTTTGATACCATCTCATTTATTAATTTTTAAATTTTATTTCTTGTACTCTAGGAACCATGTTGAGGAAGTCGGGTTCTAAGCCGACATGAGGGAGTGTTGTGCCTATGTTTTTTCTAAGAGGTGTAGGTTTTCTTGTCTAACCTCTAGGTCTTTGAACCACTTTGATTTGAGTTTTGGTAACTTTCTTTTTCTTTCTTCTTGAGGTATGTACTGAATGAAAGGGTAGGGGCCCCAGGCTGTCAAATCTTTTCTTTTTATTGTGTTGCTCACCAAGATGCCAGTTGGAGTTTGAAACTTCTCAGCTTCCCTCTGGGCTGTGTGATGTAGGATGAAATGGGAAGTACTGTCAGCTCCATTCCCAGGGTGAAGTCATTGCTAAGTTCTGTGAGAGGAGTTCCTGTAGATTGAGCTCCCAGGGGCAGGGCTTAGGTCTAGTGAGGCCCCTGGTGCTTTATGCATGGCCAGTTGTCTGGAGGTATTAAATATACACATGTCTAGAGCCCAGCGGTTGCTGATCTATGCTGAGAGACTACCTCAGGAGCCTCCCCAGGGTTCCACTCCTGGGACACTGGAGACAGTCCTTTGCCACTTCTGTTGTTTCTCCTAGGCTCAGACCCTGATCATTCAGTCACACCCCGCAGGTTCAAATTCCCAACCCCTCCTAGGACCAGCTGCAGGACTCACAGGGGTTAGGGTGCTGGGCTCTCCCTAGCCTCCCTGACTTGTATTTCCCCAGCAAAATGCTCTCTATGCCTGCTTTTCTCCAGATTTGGTAGACACAGACTAGGTCAGGCGGCTGTTGTCTGCTAAGACTATGTATTGGACCCAGCCCCAAACTCCTGGATAGGACACCTGAGCTCCCAGGTCCAAGTTAATGGTTCCTGTTGGTGCTGGCAGTGTGGTGGCCTCAAAGCGGATCCTGCCTCAGCTGTCAGTGAACACGGGTTTATTGTGCTGAACAGCCTCTGAATTGGCCTAGGGCAAGCTTCCCCTCCACTCTCAGGTTTTTCCACACTTAAGACCATCCATTTCTCAGCTTTTTCCATCTTTGTGTGCTAATTCTCCTGCAAGCAGCTTAGCTCTAACTTTGTCCCTTTTCCTTGTTTAATATACCCGACATTTCTAAGTCTTTAGGGCACTCTAACTGGTCCAGTATTGAGTTTTAATGAAATCTCTCTTTTACCCGTCTTGCTGGAGCAGTATTTCTGCTGCTCAAATCCCAGGTCACAGGGCTAGAGAAATGCTGCTTCACCCTAGTTCACCGTCTTGGATCCTGATTTTTATTTTTATTATTTTTAATGTTTTTCTGTTTCTTCACAGTTTTCTCTAAGGTGGTTAATACTTTATAAAATGCAAAAAAGTGATTAAAGTATTTTATTATGAATTGAAAAGGAATTGTCATTGATCCCAAATACTTTTGTATTTAATAATTGTTAGATTTTGTAACGTCCTCATATCTATTTTCTTTTAAGTACCTGCATTTTGCTAATTCAAACAGGTTTATTCGAAACCAGCAAAGGCTTTTGGAGCAACATACGAACCAGATGGAAGCCACCAATGTAAGTGATTAGAAATGTTATAAAATAAATAATTGAATGTTTTTCCAATTGTACAGTAAGAAGCCAGGCTTACATAAAACAGATCTTTATAAAGAGGAGACATGCACTGACAATTTGAAGTAGTTTGATGGGGTCTAGGTATTTGTATTAAATACAAGTTCATGAGAAGAGTCCGAAGTTAAACAGAAATCCATGTGGATGGTGAGGTGTTACTCACCATGGCTACTCAGTGAATGGAGGCTTCTTCCTTCAGTGCATCCAAATGGGGTTCTTCTGTCTCCAGTAGAGATTCTGAGATGGAAAAGCCACAATAAATTACATGACATGTTTTTCTAAATGGCATTTTTGCTTGCCTTATTTTCAGACCACCAGTGAGCCCTCCGCTCCATCTTGTGAGCTCCTGGATTTAAGTCCCAGCACCCTGATGTCAATGGCCACTCAAGGAGAACTCAGCAACGTGAATTCTCAGCTTTCAAACTTAAGTAAATAAGCAGTTGGGCCTTTTCAGATCAGCAGAAGAGCTTGATGTGAAACATTTCTCCTTGATTTCATGATTAAATGGCTCCTGAGAAGGACTGAAGTCAGTGTGAATATCAGAGAACTGTATCAGCAGATGCAGTTACTTCCTGGCAAATGATTGGGTCAAACCCAGTATAGGAAGGGAATATGTCTTGGGGAGGAGGTCTTGGAAATTCATCCCACTGGCTTAGAATCTCAAGGAATTCACCTGGCCTGCTTGGTAGAGGTGTCCAGCTCAGTAGCCAGTATTTAAATCTCTTCTGAATCCACACAGTATTATCGTTGGGTTTCTCTGCTGTACCGCAGCACCAGGTAAGGTAATATTTGATGCAGACAGGAAATTCAGGAATTACAAGGCATGATTCATGTGATTGTGAAATGAGGAGGGAAAAACAGGTTAGAGACAGAAGTCCAAGTTCAAATCCCAATTCTGCCACCTCTTAGTCACTTGACCTTTGACACATTCTTCCTTTAAAAAAAAAAAAGGTAAAAATGGTTGCCTTGAAGGGTTGTGTGAGGGTAAATGAAATAACGTTTGCAAGATATATTTGTAAGCTTGGGGCTACCTGTCTTATCTAGCTTATTTGTTGTCCTCTGTGATCCTTATTCTCAAGTATTCGTAAATTATGAAAATAAGGATGGTGAAAAAAATACTACAAAATCAGTTCATTTTCCTCTTACATTATCTTGTGTTTCTAATGCAGAGATATTCGGTACCCCAGAATTAGTGGTTTTCTTATAACTCACTTCATTTCTAAAATATTGGCTGTCTGCTCATATAGGCCAGGATGATGTGTGGAATCACTTGCATTAGAGAATTTTGTTGGGTTTTGATCAGGAATTTTCCAGAGGGGAGAGTAATTATTCCTATTAGGGAGTCTCAACATTATAGGAAGAACTTAGAGGTGAGGATTGAGCTCCATATAAACCGTAAAATTTTTCTATGAGATGGGCAGAGCAAGTCATATAAAATCCTTTTCATTCTAGAACAGCATGAGATGGCAGAAAACTCAGTAAATGATATTTGTTCCCTTCCTACCCCCTTTTTGTGGCAGGAAATGTCTGTCTCTCTGTCATCTCCCTCTCACAAATGTTGCTTTTAAATCTCTTTTAAAGGAAATTCTGTGATTTTTGTGGTGACAGAAATATCTAAATCTCTTTGAATTTTTTTTTTTTTAAACTGTGGAAAATCTGGCAAGTGATTGAAAAAGGGTTTCAAAAACCAAAGAAGTTCATTTTGTGTTTCTAGGTTTCAGCTCTCCAAGTCCTATTGTAAGAAACAACTTGAATCCCAGTCTTCATTCAAATGTGGATTTGCTAGCCTCGGAAAATACAGAAATGCCCCTGTAAGTATGTCAGTAACACCACAGAGCTAGTACTGAGACATTCTTATCCTTACATTTAAGAAAACATGGCATGATCAAAAGAAGTAGAGAATTAAGAATCAGACAGACTGCAGTTAGATTCTCAGCATTGCTTCCTATGAGACTTAGGGCCTAGGATGACATATTTAGCCACTGTGAATCTTCCTTTTTTCCTCAGAATACTTCTAGTGTCTTACAAAGATCTATGAGATGTTACATGTAAAACTCCTAATGTGGAATTTGGTACATAATAAGCCTTCAATAAATTGTCTCTGTTTTTCTGTTTGTCTTTTTAGTGATAACAGGAGATGAGGGAAAATGGGCAATATGATAGAGGAGGAGGAAGAGAAATGAGTTTCAGGATTGTTAAGGGTAATAGCCACACTGGTCTCTTGACATGCCTGGCACATATCAAGCACTCCATGTTTTTTTTGGTTTTGTTTCTTTCATGTAATCTTTGCAGAAGTTCTCTGGCCAATGCTGTAATCATTTTATGTCTTTTGTTCAGGACCTGAGACATAGGGACTAGAACTTGCCAAAATTCACATAGTCAGTAAGGAGCAAGTCTGAATGATAGAGCAACAAAAAGAAATTTGGTTGGACCATAAACACATAAAATGATATTCAGATTTACTTAGGGAAACATAAGATAAAACTCCAAGACATTGTGTTTTTAACCTGTCAGATTGGCAAAAATCCAAATATTTGTTAATAGGCTTTGTTGAAATGGAAAGACAGACACTATTACAAAATTATGCAGTCCTTATGAAGAGCAAGTGATGGTATGTATTAAAAATAGTGCATTTAGCTTTGAACCTTCAGTCTTATTTCTAGGAATTGGTGCTGCATTCATACAAAATTAGGTGTTTATAAAATTATTCTTTACAACATTTTTGGCAATAGTGAATAAATGGATACAACTCAGGTATCTATTAGTTGGAAGCTTGTTAAATAAACATCTATTTAATGTATTATTAAACAGCTAGGGGGAGAAAGTAGGCTTTCTGTATGAGAGACCAGTAACCAGTATATGAACTGTGAAGTGGAAAAAAAGATGCAAAATAATGTTTGTACGCTGTATTGCAGTTAATGTAGGAAACTGGGGGAAAATATACATGTATATGCCTGTACTTTCATAGGTAATACAAGAAGGAGACAGAAGAAACTAAAAAGAGTGGTGATTTAATTTAAGGGAAAGGCAAGATATAGTAAATAGAATGAAAAATGAACAGAAGTTGAATTTGTCTTATGATCAGGCTGATGTTCTCTTTTTTCCCCTTTTAAATATATATAGTTTAGGTCATAGGCAATGCATTTCCATGAGTCACATCAAAACAACCTACACTTAAAAAAGACAATTCTTTTTGTTCATCTATTTATTTATTTATTTTAAATTATAATTGTTATAAATGATAATAAAATGTATTTCAGTTCATATTACACATATAGAGCACAATTTTTCATATCTCTGGTTGTATACAAAGTATATTCACACCATTCCTGTTTTCATACATGTACTTAGGGTAATGATGTCCATCTCATTCCACCATCTTTTCTGTCCCCGTGCCCCCTCCCTTCCCCTCACAAAATTCTTGATCTCATCCCCAGTTCATCCTTCCTCCCTGGTACCACACTCTGTTCCCATCTGGGTAATCACTTTGTTAGGTTTTTATTTATCCCTCCAAAGTGTCTTTAGGTAAATATAAATATGTATTTTTTCCTTTTTAAAATTAAATGTAGCTTATTATTATACTTTTCTGAACTTTGGTTTTTTCATTAACTTACCAATATATTTTGACAGTTTTTCTATCAATGAATTCAGGTTGTTTTTTTTTTTTTTAAATTGCCCATTGTCTTGTTAAACATTATTTGTATCCTCAGTCACTGAATTATTTTTCTATATTTAAAAATGGGAGGGCCATGAGGACAAGAATGAAAAAATAAACAAACTTGGAATAAAAAAGAGCAAAGAACAGAAGTGTATAGAGCTATTATATATATGATTATATAAAGAAGAAGAGGTGAAAGGAAAGGTTCATGTATTGAGAAATCATGTGTATCTGTGGCCATCTCATGCACCACTTTATTGGTCAGTGCCTCAGGTTGGCAACATGAGGTCCTAACTGCATGCAGTGCAAGTAAATATTGAAATGTTCTAGGCAGATTTCTAGTGAAATTGTTTAATAATGTGGTCTAGAATAGCTGATTGTTTTCCTGTTATCTTTTTGATCTTGGTGGGTAATAGTAGAATGAGTAATACAGACAAAGTTGTATTTCAGCATGTATCTCCATAAAACTCATTAAAAACCAAATGCTAGCAAATAGCTATTTTAGTCTGTGACCCAGTAGATCTTATACTTTAGTATGTGTAAAAAAATCACCTGGTGACTGTTAAAAAGTGAAATTGGTAACCACCAGAAATTCTGATTCAATAGTGAGAATTTTTAGTTTTAACAAGCATCCTAGGAGAATGAATTACAAAGCAGTGGTTTTTTAGTCATATATTGAGAGACCCTATTATGGGTCTCTATCCCAGGATCCAGATATAATAATTTTTAAGAGTTTTTGAAATTCACTAGAATGAAAGATAATCTGTGGCAACTGTTACTTTTTGTTTTCTAGACAATCCTTTGTACCTATATTTTTCAAACTTTCCAAAAATCTTCTAGATGAATCAAATTATAATTAGACCAAACTTATAATTAGACCAGTGTCAGAAATCGAAACATTAAAGTTGATTAGGACATTAAAGTTGATCTGGACTAAACCATATGCCTCAGACCAAATACAACAAGAAGAATGAGCCATTAAAATGTCTTATGGTCTTGTCATTTGTCAACCACTCTGTAGGTTAACTGGTTCAGCATCACAGAATAATTATGTGATGCAGTTATTTTTAACCAAAAGGATCCTTGAAACACAATGACAATGGGATAGTCATTAAGTCATATTTATAGCCCACTTACTATCAGGTAACAGGCTGAGAACTGTAAGAAATGCTTTCTTATGACTTATTAATGCTCTCAATAAGCTGTGAGAAGTACCACCATCATTCTTACCTTACCAATGAGGAAACCAAGGCCAAAAGAAAGTTTTAACTTTGTATTGGTTGCCCAGTTAGTGCTGAAACAGATTCAAATTTAAACAGTACCTGCTCTATATTTTCTCTTGCATTTTAATTTTGCTTTAAGAAATTTACTTTTTTTTTTTTTTTTTTAGGTTTGGTGAATTTGAACATATGATTAGACTCACATAACCACCATAGTCAGGATACAGAGTGGTCCAACACCGCCCCCTCCTGTCCCCACAAAAAAACCCACTCTTGTGCTATTTTATTCTTTTATAATCACATCTTCCTGGCCCCTAACCCTAAACTCCTAGCAACCCCCAGTCTGTTCTCTATCACTACATTTTATCTTTAAAAATGACATCTAAATAGAATCATATGTATCTTTCTTGAAGAGACTGTAAATTTGGCATTTGCTTCATGTCATTTGAAGCTCTGTCATTAAGTACATATTCACTTAGGAATAGAATGTCTTCATAGCAGATTGGCCCTGCATCATTATGTAATTCCCCTCTCTGTTCCCCTTAATTTTCCTTACCATATTTATTTTAGTACTAATATTCCTGTTTTCTTTGGATTAGTATTTGCATGGTATCTTTTCCCATTTTTTTACTTAACCTATATCAAAATATTTGTAGTTTATGGTTAGGTAGCACATAGTTGGGTCATGCATTTTTATGTATTCTCACAATTTCTGTTTTTAATTGATGTATTTAGACCATTTACATTTAATGTAATTCTCTGTTGAATTCATTGTTTAATTTGTTTTCTGACTCTTTTTTCCCTATTTCTTCTTTTGGATTATGAGAATGTTTGTTGTATTCCATTTTAATTTATCTATTGTGATTTTTGGTTATATCTTTGGTGTGTATGTGTGAGAGAGAGAATGGGGGTACTTAGGTGATCACAATATATTTATAGTTTGTCAGTCTACCTAACTAGTGTAGAAAACTTATCACTATTTAAGTCCTCCTTTATGTAATCATATGTATAATAACTCTAAACATTGGGGGAAAATATCAAAGGACCATGTTATATCTTTTGCTTACAACCTTCAAATATATTTTGAAGAACTCAAGAAAATAGTCTATTATTATTCAATAGTTACCATTTCTATTGCTCATCTTTTCTCTGGTGTAACATACCCTCTCTCTGAAGTTCTCTTGGCAATTCTTTTTATAGAAGGTATATCCCCAGCAAAGTTTTACTTTAATGGAGAATGTTTTTATTTCATCTTTGTTCCTGAAGGGTAGTCTTACTGATTGTGGATTCTGGGTTCACAGTTTTTTTTTCTTTCAGCAGTTGTAAAAGGTTGTCACTCTCTCTTTTGGCCTACATGGTTTCTAGTAAGAAACCTATATTGATTTGAATAGTCATTTCTCTATACATAATGTGTTCTATTCTCTGCATACTTTAAATATTTTTTCTTTTTAAATTTTGAGCGTTTGTGATGTCTATACTTGATTTCTTTTTGTTTGGGGGGATTGGGAGAATGTATTAATAGTTTCCTATGGCTGCCATAACAAAGTACCACAAAATGGGTGGTTTAAAACCACAAGTATTCATTCTCTCATAGTTTTGGAAACAGGAAGTCTGAAATTCAGTCCCTTATGGACTTTTAGGGTAGAATCTGTTCTCTGCCTCTTCCAAATTCTGGTGGCTTGGCATTCCTTGGCTTGACTGGTTTATTACCATGTCACTCGTTTCTGTTGCCACCCTAACCTGGCCTTCTCTGTATGTCTCAAATCTCCCTCTGCTTTTCTCTTTTAAGATCATTTGTCACTGGATTTAGAATCCAGCCAGCTATGATAATCCACATCTTAAGATCCTTAATTTAATTATGTTTGTAGGGACCCTTTTTTCTAATGAGATAACATTCTCAGATTCTGGGGATTGTGATTTAAACATGTCTTTGGGGGGACTTCATTTAATATACTACACAGAACTTCTTGAATCTGTGGGTTTTGTCTTTCAACAAACTTGTGAAATTTTCAGCCTGTACTTCTTCAGATAGTTTTTTTCCCTTTCAACACTACATAGTTTCTGCTTTCCTGTTAGGACTCTGAGGACATAATTGTTGCAGCTGTATCATTATCTCATAGGTGTTTGGGGTTCAGTTTAATTACTCTTTTCACTTTTTTTCCCTTTATATTCAGATTAGATAATTTCTGTGATCTCTGTTCAAGTTTACTCTTACCTCTTTTATCTCTTTTTTGTACTAGGGACAGAATTGAACCTAGGGAGCACTTAATCACTGAGCCACATCCCTAGTCCTCTCTCCCCCTTTTGTTTTTTTGAGACTTGATAGGTTGCTGAGGCTGGCTTTGAACTTGCGATTCTCCTGTTTCAGACTCCCTAGCTGCTGGGATTACAGATTTTCGCCACTATACCCAGCTCCTCCCTCATCTCTATTTTGCTATTGAGCTCATTAGAAAACTTTTTAAAATTTCATTTATTGAATTTTTCAACTTTAAAATCTTCTTTTGGCGCGCGCTTGTGCGCGCTCTCTGTCTCTCTCTCATATATCTTTTTTTCTTTTTTTGGCTGAGACTTTTCTGTTTTCCTCAAGTGTGTTCCCAATTGCATCTTAGAGTATTTACATAATAACTGGTTTAAAATCTCTTGGAGATGATTTCAATATCTAGGTCCTCTTGATATCCATGCCTGTTGATTTTCTTCTTAATGCAAGATGAAATTTTCCATTACCTAGTAATTTGGGGTTATATCTTGGCTTTTTTTTTTTTTTTTTTTTGCGGTGCTGGGCATTGAACTCGGGACCTCACACATGCAAGGCAAGCACTCTCCTGAACTATATCCTTAACTCCTTATTTTATTTTGAAACAGATCTAAGTTTCTGAGTCTGGCCTTGAACTTGTTGTAATCCTCCTCCATCAGCTTTCTGAGTAGCTAAGGTTATAGGTATGTGCCACTGAGCTTCATGTTCTTGGGTATTACTAACAATTTATTATGAGATGTGTGGTCTTAATTAAATCTTGTCCAGAATTTTGATATTTTAATTTTAAAAGGCAAACAACTTGGTTAGATTTAAAGCACAATTTTAGCCTGCCCATTGGCTGTGGTTCCAGTGTCAACCAAGTTTTCTAAATCTTTGTCGTGCTACTGAGATCTGTCTTGCCTATGTACCAATCTAAGGTCTAGATAGCAGGTTGTGTGCTCAGTTCTCAACTTTCTCGACATCCTGATTGATACCAGATCCATGGGTGTGATGCAGTAGGTCACGTTTCATAAGCAACTTTGAGATTGTTTTCCTGAATTCTTCTATCCCTCTGATTTCTCTGGTGCTTCCTGGTTTCCTGGGGCTCCCCTCTCAACTTTCCAGTCACAAAGCTGCTGTCATTATTATACCATGCATTTCTTCAACTATGTGTATGTCTGAGACTACATGGCAAGGCCAAATGGAAGAAAGAAAATGGGTTTTTCCGTGTCCCCTTGGGGTCACAGCTCTACTTATAAAAGGGGAAAATGTTTTTCATTCAGAGTTTTATCTCTGTGTTGCCTCTGCTGTTACTGCAGCCACCTTGGGGTTACCTGTGGCTTTGGATGTGAACAGAGATAAAAAATAAGAAAGGGGTTAAATTTCTGTTCTCTATGAGTGTAATTTCTTTTGCCTGCTCTTGATAAAATGGGTTTTCTCGTGGAGCTCTGTCCTCACTGATGCTCACATTTGGGGCTGCATTGCATTCAGGTGACTGAACACAAAAAATGATAAATTCACCACAGTTCAGCAATGTTTGAATTTATGTTTGCATTCAGGGGGACAATGGGAGGAAAATGTGTTTGTTCCCCCTTAACCAGAATTGGAATCCTCACCTACCTTCTTAACCTCTACTCCACCCACTTCTAATCCTTCACAAGGAGATGGGATGGTAGCTACTCTGACAGAAAGACCGAAGGCTCCGTTCTTAGTGATGTGTGCTTCACACTCAGGTTTTGGGACCATACTGCAAAGGGACAATGCTTTGTGTCTTTGCTGTCCTTGATATTTAGGCATCATAATTTGGAAGGCACTGAAACCTGAAGGCAATTGTTATAGTAAAATACCACTTACGTGTTATCAGTAGGTACATGATAGTTTTGTGTTTAGACCAGGAAAATCATCTTACTTTTTGCATTTGTGTTCTCACTGTAGGGTAATCATGCTGTGTTATCACACTATCCTAGGTTTGCCCAAAGGACACACCAAAACCACGCCTCAAGTCACACATATGATAATGTAAGTAACAAGACCCTTTTGTGGCACCACACTAGTCAGCAGAGTATTGTGGCCAAAAAGAACTCTTGGTCATTAACTTCCCTATTCTGTTCAGCATTTCTTTACCCTGTGTTGATGTAGCTGTTGTTAGGATTTTTAATTTCCTTTAAAATTTTTCTAAGATAGGCAAGTTATCACGCTCCTGTTAGAGAAATGGTTAAAGATGTAATTCCTGGCAGAGATGTAGCTCAGAGGACATGCTTGCCTAGCATGCAAAGACCTGGGTTTGAATCCCAGCACTGAAGAAAAAAAAAAAAAAAAAACTGTAATTCTCAGTGTTTATCTTGCCTGATTTATTAGTAGCATGTGATGATGTTGATCACTTCCTTCATTTTGCAACGTGGCTTTCAGACAACACCCACTTTTAATTCTTCTGTTGCATCACTTCCATTTCTTCTCTTTTGCTGGCATTTCTTCCTCTCTTGGCCTTTTCATATTGGAAACATCAGGCTTAGGCTAATGATTTTTCTGTTGACATTAATTCCTCCAAGGTCTTTTACTTGAAATAACCACTCAAGTTTTGACAACCTACAAGTTCATATCTCCAGCCCAGACTTTTCCCTAAATGTAGAACTCATGTATCTACTTTCCACTTAACACCTCTTTATTTATTCTCAGTCCCTGCTCTTTTTACACACTTGCCATCTCAGTAAATGGCTACTCCACTCCTAGTTGTAAAGGGAGAAAACCTTTGAGGAAATAGTGCTTGACCTCTAACTTTTTACCTTTTATCTTCAAAAATATGTCCATTATCCAGCCACTTCTCGCTACCTCTACTTCTGTTCCTCAGTCGAAGCCTCCTTCAGAAGGATGCTGCAGTGGCTACTTAAGGATTGACATTTGCCTCCCTGCACTTCCTCCCACCCTCACCCCACCTCACACCTCACAATCTAGACCTAAAACAAAAAACAGAGCAGTCCTTTTTTTAAAAAAAAGTCAAGTCATATCACTATCTGTTCAAAGCTCACTTAGGATTTTTCTTCCTCCCTCCATTTTGCCCAATAAGTCTGTGATGCTGATATGACCCTCCAGCTTACCTCTTGCCTCCCCACCTTGGCCCACTCTACTCCAACCATATTGGCCTCCTTCAGAGTCCGTGAGCTCATATCCTTTTTGATAATCATTCCAGTCAGGGTTTTGCTTGAATGTGCCCAGGGTCGGAAATCCGCTGACCATGGCCTGAATCCCACCATAGCCTCCTCTTCCCATTACCCTGTTTTTTACTGTAGCATATGCCATCTGACATGGATTTACATTTGGTTATTATCTGCTGCCTGAGGTTGGGGACTTGGCCTTTTTTTCTTTTTTTATTAATAGTGCATGGTAGCTAATAAGTATCCAGGACACATTTGTGGAATGAATGAGAAAATTACAAGAAGATACATTTCTAATTCAGAATTCGATCTTTATCCTATCACTCCTGGTTTGATAGCATCACTGTGTGCCTTTCTGTAGCTGTGAGACTTTATTTTTCTTTCCCATTCAAAGCTGAGATTTATATTCAGGGCGAAACAACAGAGATTCTAGACTGAGTCAGTCAATACAGCTTGTTTTATGAAGGCAATAATTTTTAAACATTTCATATTTTTTGTGGAAATGGAGTGCAATGAGCATGAAAACAGACAGAAAAGTAATAAATCTTGTAAGTGGTAATTCCTTAGAAACTGAAGTAATAATTAAATATTACTAGTATTTATCCAGCTGAGTATACATGGTTCTTGGCAACACTGTCCCTAGGAAACTTAAGGCTTAATGAGTTAAAACAAACCAAACCAAAAAAAAGCCTAATGTGGAGTGTATGTTTGAACATGTTATGCTTTCTTCAGTTTCTAGAACACTCAAATCCAGTATTACTACAGCCAGTTAGCCTACAGACTGCCACAGTAACACCGTCAAACCAGAGGCCACCCTCCTTGCCCAACAATCATCCAGGTACTTGAGACCTTGTAATTGCCATCATATAAGGAAACTTGAAGAGAATGTATGATATGTCAGAGATGTAAAGATAATTGAACATAGATAAAGGGGAGACATCAGAGTAGCTCATTGCATTTTTAAGCTATTTAAAGTAAATTCAGGGCTGTTACCATTATGCCTAACATTAGGAAATTATAAAAAGGCTTGTGTTAAATTGAATTTTTATGTAGAACACAAAGGCAAATAGACCTTTAGTTAAGGTTTGGAAATCTTTTATGGGTTTTTTTTTTTTAACTGGGCAATTATTAAAACAATGGTCTGTTTTACTTTGGATTGTATTTATTAGAATCTTATATTTCAAGTCTAAGTTAAAACTGTTCAATATATTAATTATAAAAGAACATATGAGTACTACTCACAAGCATGTGTGTTTAGGGTCTCTTTTTTCACCTACAGCAATGACAAAGAATGATCTCCAGCCACCCAATTACTATGAGGTAATGGAGTTTGATCCCTTAGCTCCTGCTGTCACTACAGAGTAAGTCATTTACAAAATGATTAATTTAGTTTGTCTTGGTTTCGTTTCATAGCAGAGCTAACAGCTTGGTTACACGTTTAACTTTGTTTAGGTCTTGACTGAAATTGATGGCCTTATTAAAATAGATTTGTGAGGTTTTATGGTGGCTGTTGCTTGTAGAGATCTTTATCACTCTCAGCCTTTTGACATAAAAATAAAAATGCTGGGCTGAACATCAATACACAACCAGAACCAACATGTGCATTCTTCCTAGATATCTTGGCAGAAAGGCAGATTCCCTCTCACTTGAGAGGGCACTCTTCACTGATGACATGATACAATAACAATGGGATATTTTAATTGTTCTTTGAGAACTAATCCAAAAGAAAACTAGTATATATATAAGAACTTTTTAGTAGTCACTACACATGACAACAATGTACTTAAAATGTTTTGATAAGATATTTGTGTTAGCTTTCTGTTGCTGTGACAAAATACCTGATACAAACAACTTAAAGGGAGAAAAGGTACATTTTGGCTCATAGTTTTAGTCTGTGATCACTTGGCCTGATGGCTTTGGGGTCTATACTGAGAGAGTCCATCATGGCAGAATTGCATGGCAGACGATATTTGCTTACCCTCCCGGCAGCCAGGAAGCAGAGAGCATGCTTTTATAAGAAAGCCTCTGCCCCCCAAACCCTATAGGGTATAAATCCATCAATGGACTAATCCACTGATGAGGTCACTGCCCTGTCACCTCTCAAAAGCTACACCTCTGAACACTCCTCCATTGAGGACTAAGTCTTGAATACATGAGCTTTTTGGGGCTATTTTAGATTCCAATCATAACATTATCAGTGTAAAACTTGCTTTTTCACTTGAAATTCTTAAAAGCACCAACCATTATTTTATGATTTCCTCCTGGTCAAGTGTATATATTTGTAGGATGGTAGATTTTTTAGAGCATAGTACCAGAGTGGAAAATAATTTTGTAGGAAAGATTAGTGAGTGCAAAATTATGATGTACATTGAGAGGATAAGTAGGTTGAGAACTGAAAACTAGATAATGGATTTAAGTAAATCATTGGTGATTTCAATGGAAATCATTGATTTTAATTAAAACCATTTTGGTGAGTTGATGGGGACAGAAGCCAGATTTCAGTGCATTAAAAAAGCAAGATGAAGTAGAGACAGGAAGTGCAAGAACCTAGGAAGAGATGGTAGGAAGTGGTTTGGCAATTAGAGGATTACTGAGGTGGTTACTGCAAGTGGACATAAGATGATAGACTGTACGATGTCCCGTAAAATGGGAGACACGAGAGCATTTGTGAATACCAAGTATCTATACTAGTATAGAGGGTGAGGTTGAAGATTCAGGAAGGGAAGACAACTGTATGAAGTATTTAAGAAGCCAGATAGGATCATGGAAGTAGAGAATGGTGCAGATGACAAGAGACTTAGGATTTAGTGATGGTAAGATGAGAAAGTTTTTTGATATTAAGACATATAATTTGTTAAAAAGTACAGATTCTGGGCTGGGGTTGTGGCTCAGTGGTAAAGTGCTCACCTATCATGCATGAGGCACTGGGTTTGATCCTCAACACCACATAAAAATAAAATAAAGGTATTGTGTCCACCTACAACTAAAAAATATACTTTACAGTTTCTTCCTGAGAGATCTGAAGATCAGAGATATAACAAGAGTGAAGGCTGAAATAATTTCTTAGAAAACGAAAGACAAAACTTTACAGAAACACAGTAAATCGCAGGACCATGCTGAGGCCTCATGAAGTGACTGATTTCATAGTGCTTCATTTTTAGACTTTCTGCAGCCATGTTTTACTCTCTCTATGAGTGTCATGTTTTAGGGTATTGATATTTCTAGTGAAAGACATGTAAAACATAAAGAAGTGAGGGATAGAAAAACTATTATATTAAAGGTTCAGAGATGATAATTACAAACTAAAGGATGCTTAGGAATCTGGATTATAAACATAGAAATTAAATGAGCTAGACATTAATATTTCTATTTTTTTTTTACCCACAACCCAGGGGTGATCTACCACTGAGCATATCTCAGCTCTTTATTTTTCGAGACAGGGTCTTAACAGAGTTTCTCAGGCTGGCCTTGACATTGCAGTCCGCCTGATTCTGCTTCCAAGTTGTTGGGATTGCAGGCATATGCCTCCACACATGGTTACAACATTTTTTTCTTTAAGGGTTTAAATTAGAAGCTGAATGATTTTCTAAAAAAAAAAAAAAAGAAGAAGAAGAAGAAGAAGAATGAGCCCAAATTTGAGCCATGTTTTTTCCTTTAAATCACAAGTAAAAATGATTTGGTCTTGAAAAGGAATGTACCCTTGAATTTAAGAAAGTTAGACTTCAAGCTTCAGGACAGATATCTTTGTTTTTATTCATTGATGCCAGCCCCAGATATTTAATTATGGTGCTGAAGTTTAAAAAGCAACATAATACTTTGAATTGATATATAACACTTTAACTGTGATAACTTTTTTTGTTTCAGAGCTATTTATGAAGAAATAGATGTTCATCCCCACAAAGGAGCTCGAAGTCATAGTGACTGTTGAGGTAAAAACTTCAGTTACATTCCATATTCCATCTAATTTCAGTGTAACATCACCTTTTGCATTTAGTAGTTATATTTTGTAATGGCTGAGTTTTACGCTTATGGTTAATGAAATAACAGGAATTCCTCTGGATCATTCAAACTGTAAAGAACTGTTTTTCACTAAGGAAATACAATCTTTGTGATCTTGTCAGCAAAAAGCAATGAGACTTGGGAATGCAGAAGTTGGGTTTATGGGATTGAAATGTTAATGCTAAAAAAATTATTTGATCAATAGAAATTCCCTATCACTAAAATCAGGTGTTTGGCTTTAATGTGCAGTTAAAACCTGTTAACTGGTACCAAGAAAACCTATTCATTGTTAGTCCTCCAAATAGGCCTGGTTTTTCCCTATTTGTTGCATTAGTCATCCCACTTACTTCCTGATAAATGTCTGATTATCAGGTGCCTATTATGTATTCCCGCCACACCATCCCCTACAGAAGTAGTAGGTTACCACCATTCCTCTATTTGACTGGCTCTTCTATCTCCCAGTAGAGAAAAGACAAAGAGTTATCAAGAAGTAAACAAGAGTTATCAAGGAGGGCAGGATGGAGAATGACCAATTTTCTTCTGTTTTAGGTTAAAGTGGATGATCAATCAGCTCATTAGCAGCACAGAGAGGCTAGCTCTCTTAAAGGGTAGATCCTATCCAGCTTTGAGACCTGGAAGACAAGACCTACCAACATGTGAAAGCCACAGTGGACCATTTCTTCTCTGCTATAATGAAGTATAAACAGAAGAATAATAATTTCAGAGTAATATTCATGATTAATGACAACCAATCAAGATTTCAGTAGAATGTGGTTGTAGCAAATATTCACTTAAAACTTTGGAAGAACAATTACTTAGTCCTTAGGCCAACCAGTTTAATTGCAGTACCTTCTGTTGCTTACATCTTCCTATATATAGAAAACAAATAATCACACAGCTGTGATAAAAGTAGATAAAGATTGTTACTTTATTATTATTACTACAAAATAATTCTAAATAGATGTGAGAAACTAAATGTATTATTCAGGAAGAACATTTTGTGCCTTCACTTAACTAAAATTGAATGTAAGATAATTTGCACTTCTTTAAAAATAATTCTTTGATTCTTTATAATGCTAAATTATTTTCTATTGCCCCCTACCCTTTTTATTATAATTAATATTTCTATTTGGAACAAAGACTACTGGAAAACATTCAGAATAAATTGTGTATTCATTTACATAAATTACAATGACAAATAACTTAAAATAATTTATTATTATTATTTTTTTATACAGTTTTGATCCCAGAACTTCTATGTCAGTAATCTTCATAATCCCATCCTTCCCTTTTAACATTCAGGGGCTTGGAACTAAGAAAGTAAATGCAAGCAGTCTAATTAGATATATTACATTATTATTACATTATATTACGTTTTATTTCAATTTCATAGTGTCACAATTTCAAAGTAATTCAATATTCAAATGTAAAATAGCCCTAGGCCTTAAAGGGAAACTAAAGTCAAATTTGAAATAAGAATATAATCTTTGAGCCGTCTTAGGGCTTAGTGACTTCTCTTTCACCTTTGAATTTTTTTAAATAATGGCCATTCACACTGAAGGAAAATAGCTGTTTTGGAGATAAATAAACATGCTCCAACATTCTGTTCTATAGCCTGATACAGATAACTGTGCGCGTGTGGGCGTGTGTGTGTGTGTATGAAGGGCCAATAATTTGAAAAGCAACTATAGAATTAAGCTGAACAATGATCAAGTTCATGCCTGCACATGTAAGAAACAAAGCAGTTTCTCTTCATATTATCACATTCTTAAATATGGTAGTGAACAGTCATACAGTCTATATAAACATGTGGGTTTCTTATGGTAAAAAGCTGAAACTGTTCTTTTATTTTTAAGTGTCATAAATTAGTTAGCAAGAAAAAAATGCTCAAAATAGAAGGCTTCACTTCATCTCATTACAGAATATTTCTCTTCTGAGAAGGCAGGATACATGATTTCTCAAAAATCATAAATCTGAAGTAGGACTTGGTTGCTACTTCAATTATAGCCTGGAACTGGCAACTTGTGCCCTTCCTTTGCTTCAAAAAAGGTATAAGAAAGAGTGATAAGATCAACATTCACCATTCTTGGATCTTCAGCAAATTCAGGATCAATGTAAAAAAATACTGGCATATCTACTTCCTCTTGGGGGTTAAGCCTTTGTTCTTCAAAACAGAAGCACTAGAAATTATAGAAAGGTATTTGTTTAATAACATTTCTATTACCTGTAACAAAGGAATAGTCACTTCTTGACTTTTAAGTTCTATGATAGACTAATAGCATGTTTCAAGCTCAGATTGAGTTTTGTTTTAAGGACTGAAATTCTAATCTTAAAAGCAAAATATTAATTTGGTTTGACGATCAGTCTTTATATAGCAGTTTAAACAGAGAAGATAAAAGTAGCTTGAAGTCTATAAGAAACAGTTTTCAGAAATTATAAGTATCTACTAAAACATTATAGTAAGTTTCATACTAAACAGTTTCATGTACCTTTACTATATTCCTTGTTTGCACTGTTTACCTGTATTTTATTGAAATACTGTCCAGCTTCAAATGGTACAACATTGTATGTAGAAATTCCAATTATTGGTTTGTCAGTAGGATTCTTAGCTTTATAAAATGCCAGTGCAGTCTCTCCTGGTACTACCTGTTTTAAAGAACACACGTTATCAGTACTTTAAATCTCACATACCTCCTTTTTTTCCCTACTAAATTACAATCCTTATTTTTGCTGTTCTTCAGACCACCACACCTGAGGTTCAGCAAAATAAATTGTGAATCTTACCCACAAACCTGAGTCTCAAATTTTATTTGCATGTCAATGAAGAATCAGTGTATTGTTAGGTATAATTAGTTATGTATTACCCTCAGATATATCTGAGATTTTCAAACAACAGTCTACAAATTATTCAAAAATACGTCCAAGGACAAGCCAACTATATCACAGCCCAAGCCTCACTTCTTTGTAACACTTAAACATGAATGTCATGATTATTTTTTTTAAATGATACTAACATTAAACTTACCTTGAATTAAATTATAATCAAAGTAAATTCAAATGAATAAAACCAAAAAATGCTAATGCACTGAAAATAGGGAAGCTTAAAATAAAAAATTTCCAAAAGATAGTCTTGTCTACTTGTACCAGTATACCATCTTGTACCTTGTTTTCTACCACATAAATGAACCAGTGCAAAATTATAACCTATGAAACCCTTAGTCATTGAAGATACTCAGTCAGGTTAACTAAACTGGACAAGTACTAATATTTAGAAGCGTTTTCCAATGAGGGTTGAAATTAAGTCTTTCCTGTTAATCCTCAATTGAGAGAATTTCAGTTAAAATCCTTGCAAGGTTGCAATTAGTTAACATTTAAGAAAGCTTTAAAGTATATGCTCTATTACATTAAGTACAAAGCACTATTAAAAAGTCATTTCAGCTGGGCATAGTGGTGCATGCCTATAATCCCAGTGACTCAGGAAGCTGATGCCAGCCTAGGCAACTCAGTGAGACTCTGTATCAAAATAAAAAATTAAAAAGAAATGGGGATGTAGCTTAGTGGTACAGGTTCTCTGGGTTCAAACCCAATACAAAGGAAAAAAAAAAGCAGTTATTTCAAAATACTAACAAATTCCATGAATAATTCCATTTCATGAAATATATTCCATGAATTATTCATGGAATCTGTTAGTATTTTTAAATTGAGTTTTGATAAGTCAGACAACTTAAGATGAAACGGTTTTTACATTGAAAAAAGAAATCTAATGATTGCTTTAGTTACTTACATATATTTCTGTTTGCTGAGGTCTAAAGTTCCACTGGAGCCTTGCATGCACATCTGCATTAAAGGTACCTTAATGATTCGATCCTTGACAGGCACCATGTTTTCAGTTTGGTCTGATGAATGACCTGCTACTGCTGAAATCTAATGACTGCTTTAGTTACTTACATATATTTCTGTTTGCTGAGGTCTAAAGTTCCACTGGAGACTTGCATGCACATCTGCATTAAAGGTAACCTTAATGATTCGATCCTTGACAGGCACCATGTTTTCAATTTGGTCTGATGAATGACCTGCTACTGCTGATCCTCCAAGTCCAGTAGTCTAGGAAAAAAGATACTAAATATGTTAAATAATACAGATGTTGATCTATTTCTTGAACAAAGCAAAATTTTAAAAGCAATAATCCAGCTAGAGCCATGTTTAAATACTATCTCTGACCATTTCCTATAACTGCCAATGGTTTGCCCATTTTTAAGGTGTCAAAAGCCTATGTTAAAGTGATCCATATGGTATGTTTCAACAAAGTCGTGATTATCTGAATGATCAAAAGTGAATCCTTTGGGAAAAGTAGTTTCTTTGAATTAAAAAAACTATTATCTATTATCACAGAAAATAGAGCACAGAATTTCCAGATTAGCCTTTTATTAAACATACTTCCCTTTATTATTAGTATCTTGTACTCACTAGAATAAAATTTACCCCAAACCTGGTCATTTCAATGAAAATACTTATTATTTCCACTTTTCCATGTTTCTTTCTGGTTCTTTTCCATATCAAAATTACACTGTAGTTTTATTTCCATATACTGCTTTTCTACAGCATTTTAAGTATTTTCCCATGCCAGTTAAAGTTTTTGTATGGTTTACTTCTTCTCATGATATAACTTTTGTAGATGTCACTAGTTAACTAGAGGACATGTCGTCTTTGGCCATTGAATCAGCCTATCACAGGGCATGTAGCTGACATTTCTTGTTTAACTTCATTGGCATTGATTGTTTTCTTGTTTGACTTTATTACTTTCTCATATGCTTAAAAAAAAAAAAAAAGTCCTTGCATCCCTGGTTGTCATTCTTCTGATGCTTGAGGTTATCAGAATTTTGGTTTCCAGATAATTTACCTTTTACTGTACTATATTGGAAACACAACAAAACAAAATTTCAGGTTAGGGGTAGATTCCCAGCAAGATATAATATTACTATCTTCTGCTACTTATAGTCACCTAGCTTCATTTAACTTCCATGTGACATTATCAAATTGCACTATAATCAAAAAAGAAGCATCAGAGGGCAAGTCATTATCCTTGCTTAAAAGATAAGTATATTCTTCTGCCTAATAATAATATTTGAGTTTTGAGATGTAACTTCTTTTCCTAAGAGTCACTTTAATTTGTCCTCCCTCAATATAAGATTCCTTAATATACTTTTTGAACACAGATTCTTCAAAATTTCTAAGTTCAGTGTTTAATATACACACAATTAAAAAGCATTGAAAAGATGTACTGAGCTCAGGTCTAGTTTTGCAACTTATTGAATAAATCTTATTTTCTTTGGATTACATTTTACATGCTCATAAAATGAGGACACTGTTAAGTGGTTTGTATAATCCCTTATTTCTGGTTATAAAATTTTTGTGATTCCAGAAGTAACAGAAGATGTTCATCACATATCACTGTTTTAACATCCAACCTGATTTTAGGATTACAATATTTTTCACCTTTCTGCCCTACCATTCCAAGTGAAGACAGACAGACACATATACAATATTCTCAACTGTTTGGAGCAGGGTTTCTTAACCAGTACTGATATTTGGGGGTGGATAATTTTGGGGGGAAAGTGAGGGTGTCCTGTGCACTGTTGGATATTTGGCAGCATCTCTAGCCTCTACCCACTTGTATGCCAGTACCACTCAACCCGATATCACCCCAGGTTGTAACAAACAGGTCTTCAAACATTGCTAACAGTTCCCTGGGGGGACAAAAATCACTCCCTTCCAGCCAATGATGGTTTCTGAGGAGGATCTACACTTGATCTGGATTTGGTTCTTCTAATGAACTGATCAGGTGATAGTTTGGGGGTTCATATTCGGTCCTCCTGGGTGGCGAGGTAGAGATCAGAGAAATCCACTCTGCTGCGTGGAATAAACAACCACTATGGGGACTAGGGTTCTACTGAGCTTTTCCACTTTCTCGGTGACCTTGAACAAGTCACTGATAGAGCCAGTTTCCTCTTTGAGACCTAACCTTAGACAACCTTCCAACTATGAGCCTCTTCTAGAGGGGCGGCTTCCGAGGTTCTGCCCCGCACCAAATGCGGTTTGCCCTTCCGTGTGCAGTGTTATCATCATCTGTGATTGTACCCCTGACCTTCCTAAACTCCACCAGTCTTTGTCTTGACCCTCGCGATCGCGCCGCCCCCTACCTGGCAATAGAGCCGATAAAGGGGCACAGCGGCGTAAGAGGCCCCCAGCATGCCCACGGCGGCCGCGGTCACGTAGGTGAGCACCGTCTTGTTCCGCCGCCTCCAGTCCTCCTCCTGCGCTCGTGTGAAAGGGTTTGTGCTCTTTGGTCGCCGCCGCCACTGCGCGGCTGGGTCCCGGGCCGGTCTCCGGCGTTCCCATGTCCACAGCCGCCTCAGCCCTCTTTCAGCCCCTCCAGTTCCACTCCACCCCAGGCTAAAGAACGGCTCTACCCTCCCCGCAGCCCCAGTCGGGGACCCAGGGTGGCTCCATCCACAAAAAGCAACAAGCCTCCATCCCGGACGCCAGATCGCTCCCATAACCCCCTGAAAGTACGCCCGCCTGTCAGGGACGAGAGGTCCGATCTCGCGAGGCCTGTTACTTCTCGCGGTATCTGGGTTGAGCCGGCCCCTGCCTTGGCTACCAGACTCCTCAGGTGGCAACGCTTGCAGTCTAGCTACGGAGGCCGGTTTGCGGGACTAACGGTAAGTTCGCGTTTTACCTTCGTGGCTGTCCCTCCCACTTTGCTCCCTTCCAGGGCACTCTTTAACTTAATCTTGAGGAAAATGCGGTTTGCCCTTCCGTGTGCAGTGTTATCATCATCTGTGATTGTACCCCTGACCTTCCTAAAGTCCACCAGTCTTTGTCTTGACCTGGCGGCCGGCGCTCCCGCGGTACCTCTGCTTAGGGCGCCCCAGCTCTGGTCCCCGTGCTTACTGCCCTTGACTTGGGCTCGGGGATCGCTTGTCGCAGGAAGCCTTCTGTGTTAACCACAGTCCTCTCGGATACTCAACATGTGCAACTTCTCACCTGGGCATCGGCTTCTACTGCTGTGATGTCCCTTTGCCACTCGCCCAGTGACAGTCACCACGTCTGGAGCGAAAGAGACTTAGCAAACCTGAGTATGCTCAGAAGGGAGTGACCAGAGTATGAGGGTCACTTAAAAGGAGGGATTGGGGAGAAATGGAGATGTTCATTTTGGGAGGAAAAAAACAAAACCAAAGAGAGAGGGATGTGACGCTTTCTTCAGCTGTCCCAAAATACTTAACTAGGACCAAAGAGGGAGCAGATTGCAGAGCCGATTTTACTGAAATAGAAGGAAGCATCTTTCTGCAGATTATAAAATCGTGATTCAGAACTCAGATTCTCAGGTTAGGCGTTTCCCGGGCCCTCAAGGTGGCCAGTAACTTGACCGAAAACTTAGTGTCCATATTCCTAAAATGGAAATCATCATAATTAATGTGACTATGTATATAAAGTGATTTTTCACCAGTACCTGAGGCATAGTAAGAATCTTAGTAAAAGGCTTTATTTCTAAGGGCTAGCACAAATCAATTATCCCCACTTTATAGATGAAGAAACTGAAGGCCTGAGAAACTTTGTCACTCAACATTTATTTGTTGCACTCTTACTGTGGTCCACACACTTCAATCTGCTAGGAAGAACACAGGAGATAATCAAGTTACAGATACATAAGAAGGGAATTTCAGATAATAATCAGTCAAGGATGACATTGAAATGACATAAAGTTTAATTTGAGAGTGATGACCCCAGGAGGGGCAGCAAAATTAGGTCTTATTTTAAAAAGGCCCAAATAAGATCTTTCTAAAGAAGTGATATTTGAGCCTAGTCCAAAACCATGATAAAGAGCTACTTGCGCAATGACAAGCTGGCTGGAGAGAGGAAGAAAATGGGGTCAGAGTTGTTATACAGAGGCCTAATAATACAAAGCCTCCTAAGCCATGTCCAAGGGAACCTATTAGGAGTGTTTGGAGCATACAACATGACCCAATTTGAGGCACAGTGAAAAAGAGAGATTGGTTACTTTGGGGTGGGGTAAGGGGCGGGAATGAAAGTGGAACAGTTAGAAGCGATTATGGTAGTCCCGGTGAGTGATGACAGTCACCTTGAGTGATGACTGTCACCTTGAGTGAATAATTAACTTGTGGTCCTAAGACCACAATTGCAGAGCCAATAAAATTCAGTTATTTTCTGACTCCTTTCTACTTTGGTACACTTAAAATTTTCAAAATTCTATGATTCTTCAAATTTATTCATATTGTGTTATGACAATGTTTGAAAATCTTTTTCACGTATATGTATCTTGGTGTTCTTATAGCAGATTGTGAGCTCTTTTGGATAAGACCTCATATTTTAACTTTTTTGCAGCATAGACTCAAATACCATGCAATCATTCATGTTCTTGAAGCCAGTAATACATTTCTTCTTAACCATACCTTCCACCCAGACACCCCTTCTACATAGCTCCAGGTAGCAATATAAATATGTCAATAATACTGACTTTGTATTAGATTATTTATTTGATTTTACCTCACTTTATTTTTTGTAAATGTGAAATGAAACTATTCCTTTCCAAGGTACAATAATGTTGGTAGCAAATTTTGGCGTTGGTCTTTGTATATTTCTCATTTAATAAAAGAAAATATGTGACATATCTAATCTTATGATAATATAAAAGGGCAATTCATGTTTATGGAATATTTCTAGATGACAAAATATTTTTGATATTTCAAATGTACTATGCAAAACATCATTTAGTTCAACCTTCAGTTTTTTTTAATTAGAGCATTATAGATATACATCGTAGTTGGGTTCATTTTTTCAAAATCATACATGCTGGAATTTAATTTACTCAATTTCATTCCCTGTTCTCCTTCCCTTTTGCTCCTCTCCTCCATTCCCATTTTCCTTCCTCTACTGATTTTCCTTTTGCTATTCTGTTTACTTTTGATTTGTGATGTCTGCATACACATAAATGTGGAATTCCCTGTGTTATATTTGTACATGCACATAGGGTAATTTTGTTAAATTAATTTCACGTTTTCTCCCCTTTCCCGACCCTCCCCCTTACCCCCTCTTGATCCCCCTTCCACTTCACTGATTTTCTCTATATCATTGAAATATCTGACGCCCCCACCTTTTTTTTTTTCTTATTTTGTTCTAACTTCTGCGTATGAGAGAAAACATCTGACCCTTGATTTTCTGAGTCTGGTTTATTTCACTTAGCATGATATTCTATATTTCTATCCTACTAGCAGATGCCATAATTTCATTCTTAATGGCTGAGTAAAACTCCATTATGTATATATACCACATTTTCTTAGTCCATTCATCTATTGACAAGCATAGGGCTATGGACGTCCAATTTTACTTTGAAATAATTAAAAAATATACATAAAAGTTGCAGCAATAGTGCACAAATTTCTAGCATATCTTTTATCTAGATTCTCTTAAAAATTTTGCACCATTGAAAGATATGAGATGATATTCCAAAACTGTAACCTTAATACTTCCAGGTGTATCTTCTAATTATAAGGACACTTTCTCCTTCATAATCACGGTACAGACATAAAAATGAAGAAGTTAATATTAACCTAGTATTACCATCTGTGGTCACCTTGAGCTGCTATATTGAAATACCATAGTCAGTATCATGAAAATGACACTGGGATTTCATTCTGAGCAAAAATTTGGTAAAGAATGAACTCTTGTCTCCATGGCAGACGAATTCAATGACCTAATATATTAGTTTTCTAGATCTACAACAGCAAATTACTGCAGATGGGGTTGTTTAAACTACAGCGATTTATTTCTCACATTTCTGGAGGCCTAAAGTCCAATATCAAGGTGCTGAAAGATTCAGTTCCTGGTGAGGGTTCTCCTCACTTGTAGCAGTCTGCCATCTTTCTGTGTCCTCTCGTCATTGAGAGGAGTGAACAAGCTCTCTAATGTCTTTTTTTAAAAAGGACACTAATCACTTCCCATCAAGGTTCTACATTTATGACCTTAATTACTTCTTCAATTCATATGCAGCTTCACTTGGGGTTAGGGCTTCAACTTAAGAATTTTGGGGGACAGATACATTGAGTCCTTAACACCATGTTGTCCTTAGACTCTATTGGAATTTTTGTTTGTTTTTATTTGTTTGTTTTAGTTATTCATGACAGTAGAATCTATTTTGATATATTTATACAAGCATCAAATATATTTTATTCTAGTTAGGATCTCAGTCTTGTGGATGTATATATTGTTGAGATTCATTGTGGTGTGTTCATATATGTACATAGGAAAGTTATGTCAGATTCATTCTACTGTCTTTCCTATTCCTATCCTTGCTCCCTTCCCTTCATTACCCTTTGTCTAATCCCCTAAACCATATTCTTTCCTCTCCTTCTCCTTGTTGTGGGTTAGTGTTCACATTTCAGAAAGAACATTTAACCTTTGTTTTTTGGGGATTGGCTTATTTCACTTAGCATGATAGTATCCAGATCCACCCATTTACTGGCAAATGTCATAAAATCACTCTTCTTTATGGCTGAGTAATACTCCATTGTGAATATAGATATCACAGTTTCTTTATCCTTTCATCTGTTCAAGGTCATCTACGTTTGTTCCATAGCTTAGCTGTTGTGAATAAGCATTGATGTGGACGTGTCACTGTAGTATGTTGATTTTAATTTTGGATGTATACCAAGGAGTGGGATAACTGGGTCAAATAGTAGTTTCATTCTTAGTTTTTTGAGGAATCTACATACTGCTTTCCAGATTGGTTGCTTCAGTTTACCGTCCCACCAATAGTATATGAGTGTACCCTTTTCCCCACATCTCGCCAATATTTATTACTTGTATTCTTGATTATTGCCATTCTGGTTGGAGTGAGATAAAAACTCAATGTAATTTTAATTTGCATTTCTTTAATTGCTAGAGATGTTGAACATTTTTTTCATATATTGGTTGAACAGTCATATTATCTTCTTTTGAGAAGCGTCTTTTCAGTTTGTGGGCCCATCTGTTGACTGGGTTACTGGGGTTTTTTGTTTGTTTGTTTGTTTGTTGTTAAACTTTTGAGTTCTTTGTATATCCTGGAAATTGATGCCTCTGAGGTGCAGGTTGCAAAGATTTTCTCCTGTTCTGTAGGCTCTCTCTGCACACTCTTGATTGTTTCCTTTTCTGTGAAGAAGCTTTTTTGATACCATCCCATTTATTGACTATTGATTTTACTTCTGTCCTTAGGAGTCTTGTTAAGGAAGTCATCTTCTGAGCTGATATATTGGAGTGTTGGGCCTACATTTTCTTCTAGTAGGTGCAGGGTTTCTGGTCTAATACCTAGAACTTCAGTCCACTTTGAGTTGAGTTTTATGTAGGGTTTGAGATAAGGATTAAAATTCATTCTACTACATATGGATTTCTAATTTTCCCAGCACCATTTGTTGAAGAGGCTGTCTCTTCTCCAGTGTATGTTTCTGGCATCTTTGCATGGACTTTGTTTGAATCCTCTGCTCATCCCAACATTGCCACTTTAGTTCTAGGATCCAGTCAAGGATTCTTCCTTTTTGTTTTGTTTTCACT